AAAGAGAGCAAGCTATTCCGAGACGGCACCTGTTGCCCGCGACCCTCGACAGACTCAGTAAAGGATTTTCCGTCGGTAGATCGGTATCCTTACCGGGATCGAGCAAGGAGAAGGTTCCAGTTTCGGAAGCATTGTCGGACCCGACTTCCAGAGTCCTGAGACATCGGCTGCTGATATCAGGTCGTAGACGAGAAGTTCATTCCGATGGGGAGGATGCGCGCGAATTCGATATACCGAACGCCGTTCTTCACTTGAAAAAGGTCTCGTTAAGGAAATTGAGAGTCTGGAAATCATAGTGGCAGTCAAGGGCGACGTCGATATCATCGATCTTCGCCGCTCGGAGAAATCAATTATAAGTTTATAATTCAATTAATATGATCGGAAGCTAGTCTCGATCTTGACGAAACAATTCATGTCGCCGATCCTGCCGAGGAATAATCTCAAACGGAAGTAAGAAATCGAAGGATCTTACATTGTCGAGAATCTTCGCGATACAAGTGTCACGAACGAAGAAATTACAATCAGTAAGTCTTTAAGTCAAATGATGATAGGGTACGATCAGAATATTTAAATATCATCGCGTTACTAAAGAAATATCAGACAGCGCGTTTTTATTATGCGGCGATATTATAAGAAAAAATAAAACTCTGAGAATTAGCAAATTAAAAAAGCAAAAGAAAAAATTGGTCACTTTAAAAAGTGAAATGATTCTTCGGAAAATATCAATGAAAATAACACGAGATATTCTTAATTATTCGATTACGTGGGCAATTATCTTCGCGTATGATACTTGAAAAAAAAAAATGTCACATTAATAAAGTCACTGTAAAGTCAACGTTGATAAATCAGATTTTCTTAAGAAAATTGGGCGATACCGAGAAGAAGACTAATTATGTCGCCGTTTTTAAAAATTTTTTAAGAATCTTAATATTTATATATATAGAATATCTGATCTCTCTGCAGCAACGATCGCACAATCATTAAGTGGCAAAGCGACGACTCTTTGGTCCCCTTGATTTTTCTGACAAGCATTAGAAGCCGAGCATTAATACGGATATATTAATTTTGTGTTGCGTGTGGCAGTAAAAATTCATCAGACGCGAGTTGGCGTGTAAACTGCCGCGTCTGATCGACGCGCTGGCGTGTCGAAAAGAAAAATTAGTGCCACATCGCGCCTGAGTTTATTATTTTTGTACAACGAATAAAAAGAAAGCGAGATCGCGCCGCGCGATCCCTTAAACATTTTGCCAAACGACGTACGATTTTAAGTGAAGTAGATCAGTAACATTGCGACAATTCGTATGTTAAGACGTATTGGAAGTGCTTCCTGTTTGAATGTGTTTCCGTTTGAAACATATCGGACAGATCCTCTATCTGTCTTGATCGATACCAATCGTATCCACAAAGGAGTCCGCAGTTCTTTACGTGACTTCTTATCATTTGTAAGCGCATCATCTTTATCATTTACGTCGTACCTGAAATGTTTTACATTGATACAAATTGCGCTTTCATTGGGGAAGTTACGTAATAAAATTAAATATATCGCTGTTATCACACTTTATTTGATCGCTCTATTAATGTTGATAACCATTTTTTTGCATCTAGTCAATCATGTGATAAGAAATTTGAGTAGAATCCGATAAGAGCATCGTAATGTATATTGAAAGTTGCTACTTAAAAGAGAAAGAGAAAAGAGAGAGAAAGAGAGAGAGATCGTATTTACTATATATTGTTAAAATGCTAGAGGGTAGATCGGTGTTGCATTTTCGATTACCGTCCCTCTCTCCTAACTGTTTTAGCGAGCGTATATACGTAGATTGTAAATAAACGAGACCAAGGAGTGTCGATGAAAATTCGCGTTCGAGTGTGCTATCGTTCTATTAAATTATTTTTTTCACGCGAAAAAGCATTCGGATGCGTATCGTCGTACACTCGAAACCGACAGCCTAATTTTCTCGAAAATAATTTTGCTAACGTTAATTAGCTAATGAAAGAAACACAATACGGAATCTGACGTCACAAATCAGTGAGGTCGCGAACAGCCTTTTGCCCCGTGTCTTCCACACGAGTCCTCCGAATCGTTTCAGATATTTTATATTCCCGAGACCCTCCTACAGATAGAGATTTCTTTCAATAACGAAAAAAAAAAACGCTAGGATCTTTTTAATAAATAGTTAAGAAATATTTATTTAAGAAATATATATTCGATACTCCCGATAATCCCCTGTATCCTTTCTTCCGAGATAATTCGCGACTTCATTGGAGACTCTATATTTTTGGATACTACTTCCTTCTCCTTACCTCATCTCTTCGAAAATACGTATAATCACATATCCACGAGAGACCAAACACAGGAAAAACAAACAAACGGAATAAAAAAAAAAAAATGAGAGACGCAAGCACGCAGGCCAATTATATTTGTACATACATATAACTTTTCGAGTAGATAAAAAATAACAGAGAAACGTCGTTCGATAAAGTAATATCTTTAGAGGTTCTAGATTCGGTACAGTTTGATGAACGCGATCGTCGCTAGCCACGAGAAGAAACGATCAAATTAGCCTGATACAACTTGTAAATCAAATCATTGAAGAGAAGCGAGATATGGGCCAATTATATTTATACGCGTAGATGCCGTTAAATTGCAATTGTCATACCACAAACTACTTTCGCAGAATATGTAGATCAAACTATAATTAGCTAATTTATACGATAATTTATATCGTATATCTATCAGTGTACTTGACAATATTGCGAGCGACGAGTAATAAATCCCCCACAATTTCTTGAAAATATTTTTCGCTGTCCCCGCTTAATTCTTAAAAGATAATATTTTCATATCTAAATATTTTTCAATTGGTTTTTTTGCCGATGTATTTTATATATAATCTCTCTTTCTTTTCCTTCAAAAAAAGTATTTTTCACACTATCTAAAATATATTTTCTTCTCGTACGGTTTTAATAAATTTATATAAATTTTAATCCACACACACGTATATACAAACACATTGCAAAAAAAAATTCCCAAATGTCGACGGCGAAAGACTAACATTTACAAATTGCAAAAGTGCAACAACTTGGCAAGTGCAACAAATATCATGTTATATACATAGCAGTAACGAACAATGGCTACTAATAACGTTAATTACTGTAATTAATGTTCGACGCTCCTTGGACCTCCGGCTAAACCCCCGCATCGAGAGAATCATCGACTATAAACAGACAGTGTTTATCGAACGTTACGTCTCGGTTGCAAACGTTGTAAACATTTGTTGTGCCGCCGTAGGATGTTGCAACGAGTTGCATGTAATTGCCAAATTCGCCTCCAAAAGCATGGGCGCCGCCGATAGAAAATTAATACCCGTAAAATAATAATCGAGTTTTTTTAGTGATTTTAACTTTGACTTCAATTTAACATTTCAACTGCCACGTGAACATTTTAATCTTTTATAATGTTATAAATTTTGTAGATTATAGAGTAATATATAATATATAAAGTTATGTGAATTATCTCTATTTTATTAAATAATCAAAGATAAGATTAATGATAACATGCTATTTATCCATGATAAAAACATGAATAAATGATTAAAATATAAACTTATGAATTCAAGAATTTATTTTGAAAAAATTAGTAGGACAACATTAGTTTTAATCGCGATAGAGTTAATAATATTACAATTTGAACAAAATATATTTGATATTATTTTATTATTACTTACATATATTACCATATAATACAAAATTAAATGCCAAAGAGAAGAAACATCCATTTCATAATTTCTATTTTAATGATTTAATGTGCGGACTGGATATATTATTTGATATTTGCATTAGTACAAAAAAAATCGAAAGGCCATCGAGCCACGCGCTGCATTTTTGTACGTGGCGTATTTCGGAGCCAAAGAAAAAAAAATGTCTTTAATCGAGACGAAAAATGCGATAGATAGTAAATGAGGCGGAGCGATCAAAAAAAAAAAAAAAAAAAAAAAAAAAGAGAAATAACGAAACTTTAATACATGATCACAGAAATAATCAATTTTTAAAAAAGATTTATATATCACATTTCTCCCTTTTTATATTATTATTTATTATCTATTTTTAGATAAAATTTATTCTTTCTTTCAAATAATATAAGGCAAAAAATAAAAGATTGCCGATATATTGCACGGCACCCATGCTCGATTTCAACGATTTCAAACCTTCGTCCCTTATCCCTTCCCTCTTCGAGGCCGACTTCAAAAGACTCATTGGACGCGTTTTAAAAGCGGCGTGCGCACGAAACGGTTACTTCTTAATATTTTTGGGACCATTCTGATTAAGGACACTATCGAACGAGCTCCTAGGAGTTGATCCTATGTAAACGATTCAGTATTAAGTCTCCTTGTTTGTTCGTCGGTCGAAAATACGATCCGCACGAAGAAAGAAGGAGAGAGAAAAAACAACGGACAAGAACGGAAACCAAAACAGAAATATCATCCTCGAGAAGATCGAGCAAAAAAACCAAATGATGCTAACGTGTCGGCCGGGCATATCCCTAATTGTACATATCCGTGATTCTTCGATAGCTGTTACGTTGATATAAAAAAAAAAAACGCGCGTATATACATATACATATATATATATATATATATATGTATATTTTTAAATTTAATACTGTGATAAACAATCACATCATGTGCGTACATTAAAAAAAAAAAAAAAGGAAAGAAAAGAAAAAAAAAAAGAAAAGAAAAGAAAAATTGATTAATTAATACACATGAGCGATGCATGTTGTCGCAATCGGGCTGGCCCGACTACGCGCGGTGCGTCGATCTCTAATCGAGGTATAAATACGATACGAGATGTCTTTTTTTCATAAGTGTAAACTTTATCACATACGTAACGCATTTATCTTGTAAGCGATTGCTGCCCCCGCATCTCTCGTCGACGGTTTTCTCCGGCTCATCGAACAACAAGATGTATCACTACGACCGTTGGAAAAAATTATATATGCGAGTTAACGAACTGTGCAGTAATTAGTTAAATCGCCGAATAATAATAATTATATAATTATCTCGGAGAGGGGTTGTCTTCGAAATCAGGTCAGTTGTTATTGTTTCTTGCCTACTTCCGAAGCGTTCATCTTGTTCAATGATTTAGCCTACTATTTGATTCATCAATTAAATAGTACGTATCAAATTAATTAACCATGTTAAAAAATAATGTTGTGAAAAATACGGAAAAGAATACTGCTGTTATGCAGTTCTTTCGGGGAACATATATTTTTAATCAGTAATATTTGAATCCGAATTATATAATTTTGGCATCATGTCGACATTTATGTGTGTGATATCTTTTACTCTATTTCTACTTAATATAAATTTTCAACAATGTTATCATTGTGTGTGTATATGCACGAAAGATTACACTTTTTGTAAACTTCAGATATCAGTTTGATTGATATAAAAGAGAAAAGAAATTCTTCTTTGTAATATATTTTCGCTCTATGAGACAGATATTATTAAGCAATGTGCCACCACATATTCAGGCATTATAGTCACCATGGAGTCACGTATGATATTCGAAGACATAAAAAGTGGACGCAAGAGATTATAAGGCAAAAAAAATGTTATTACTAAACAAAAAAACTTCTTCCCTAGTACGCATACAATATGCCGTAGCATTTCTCTCGTCACATTTAAGTGGCAATTATTGCAAAATAAAAAAAGGAGCATTATACGAGTAGCAGCTAACATTAAATAGAATTCTCTTTGGCGTTATTACGTAAACATGCGAGTAGCCTCCGTTCTCGTTTCGATAAACAAAGAAAAGCATGTAATACCCGTTAAACAAATAAAATGAAGCATGCGACCATCTTGGAACTTATAGCGAATTTACTATTACAATAATATATTAATACTATTGACATTGTTGAGGAAAAGGATCTACATGTAAATAAACATAAAAAGCATTTTTATAAATAATTAAAGTCGTCAAATTAATTAAAAAGGAAATTTCCCCTCTCTCCTTCCACCCCCTTACATTTATATAAATAAAAAAAATATATGTATTCATATAATTTTTATATAATTTTCTTAAAATAATTAAGAGTTATAGAAACTTTTAATTTACTATAGTTAAATTTAATACAAATCTTTTAAATTACGTATATATTCCGTTTAAAAACCGTTATAATTAGTTCGATTTGTTTTCAGGGAATTTATAATCTATGAAAATAAGAAATTTGTCGAATAAGAAAGTGTATGATTGGCGTTTTAAAACCAATAATGTTATTATCACTGAATTATCTGTATGTCTCGTGTATTATTAATGATTACATTTTATGCAAGTAATAAAATGCAAAAGATATGAATTTTTTAAACACTTGTTGTGATGTTGATGGCAAATAAGACGGCAGTCTATCTTATCAGAACTCGGCAAAGGCAGGAGGAAAAGAGAATGTGTATTTAGAATTATCAGTCGTTTTTTTTTACGCTATTGCGCTCGTTAGGTTCACATTACCGTTACATTTATTAACGATGTCCGTAAGTAGAATAATATTCACAATAATTGTCACATATTAGACAAACGTTATTTAAATAATCAAAAGTTTGCACTCCTGTCTGTTCATATATATGCGAATAATTACACGCATCACAACTTAAGTGATATAATGTATAAGTAACATATGATTTTGTTGACAAACGTGATTAACCATAAAGTTAGTTTGAGCTATATATATCGTACTTACAAACATCGACGTTGCAATAAAATCATATGTTCCCGTAAATTTTGAATTGACTCACCAGTCAGTCGTATGTGCTGCACCACAAAAAATTCTCAAATTGCAATCATTTCTCAGTGTAGAATGATCAAAAAGAAGATATATTCTGAAAATATAAAAAAATAAAAATTAATAAAAACAGTTATAAGTAGCATTATTAAATAATATTAAATGTATTTAATTATACAAAAAGATTCTAACAAAACATCTTGTGATGTCTAAACAGTAAAATCCCATATTGTTATTTGTTTTATAAATTGACTAAATACTCGTAAAATGTTTTCTTTCTGTGTTGTTTGCACATACTTTCTTTTTTATTCTTTTAATGGACATGAATAGAATAGTTTGAAATAAAATTAAAAGTTTAAATTTCGCATTTAAATATGTGATATGTTTTTAAAAACATCTCTGATAGGAAATAGAAATCCATTTAAAAAGCCATGACATGATCTTTTTATGCTCTGTACAATTTTTATTTTTTATAATAGATTTATATATACATTAAAGATATTCATATAAATAAAAATAAATAAAACAAAGATTATAGCACTTTTTATATTCTGCAGATAATTAAATTTTTAATTACAGCGATTGTCATACACCTACAGAGGTCTCATTGTCCCAGTGTTAACACCTTTTGAAAATGATGGGTAATTTATTTATTTTTATAAGCTCTGCTAATGTTAAACTACTTGATAATATGACCAATATTTATTCAAGATTCAGATCTCTTAATTTGGATATTATACCACAATATGCAACATATTTGGCAAAAAAAGGAATTAATGGTATACTTGGTAAGTGATCTTTATTATTAAAAATTTCTAGTCTCTTTATATTTTTTAGTCTCTCTATATCCTCTATATCTCCACACACACAAACTAACATTTTATACATATTTATTGAATTCTTGTAAAAAAGTTTGCTTAAGAATTATTTAAAAAGTAGAGATATATGGCCATTCTTATTTTAAAACTAAAATATTAATGTTGCATAACTGACATATATCATTTTGCAGTCAATGGTACAAGTGGTGAGGGGACGTCAATGTCTGTCACTGAAAGAAAATTCATTGCTGAAGCTTGGGTAAAAGCGACAAAAAGTACAAAGCAACATTTAATGATTCAAATAGGAGGCGCTCCTCTTCCCGATGTTATCGAGCTTGTAAGTACAACATCAATAGATATAAGATACATAACTAATGTGATACATAATAATGTTCAACAATACAATGCAGTCAAATAATAAAGTAAATTCGTAATTTGAATAACGTAATTTCACAGGCAAAACATGCAGATTCTCTACGTGTAGATTCTATACTCTGTTTACCAGAGTTATACTTCAAGCCTACTACTCCTCAGCAACTAATTGAATACTTGGAGAGAATTGGAAAGGCAGCACCAAACACACCATTATTATACTACCATATTCCTATGTTAACCAATGTTAATAGTGAGCAATCATTTTAATATATGCATGATAAACTTTATTAATAAATGTAATCGACAATATTGATATTTTTTCAAATATGTGTGCGTATATCATATATAATGTTTTTGTAGTACACATGGGACAATTCCTTGAATCAATTGATGATAAAATACCATCATTTGTGGGTATAAAGTTCACTAGTGCCAATTTAGAAGAGGGTGCACAAGCATTACGTGCCAATAACAAGAAATATGTTATTTTTCTTGGCAACGATCAGGTGAAAATTAAATCTTCAAATTAAATCTTAAAAAGTCTTAAAAAAGCTAACAAACTCTATATGTATATTAATTTTGATTCTAATGTAATAGAGATTAATTTACCTTGGTCTTATCCTAGTTAGTGAACGCTGCATGTGCATTGGGAATGGACTCCTTCATAATGACCAGCATAAATATGTTTCCGGAACTTGTACTGGATATTCTTGCTGCTAGCAAAAATGGAGATATGTTAAGAGCTAAGAATTTACAGGAGAAACTTTCAAGCGTTGTACTTGTTATAACAAAACATGGTAAATATTGTTTTTGCATTTAATAAAGTGCATCGTTACTAAGGATTGATTATTTACAGGCAATTGGGTGCAGACTATGAAAACAGCAATGAATCTTCTTACTGAGATCAATGTAGGATTACCTCGTGCACCACTTACATCTATTACTCCTGATGCTGTAGCAACTATGATAACTGATTTAACAAATCTAGGATATAAGCCAAAAATTTAAGCGTGATTGAAAATATTTTATTACTCTTATACTCTTTATGCTGAGTATTCTACTTACCATTAAAAATTACTTGTAAAATTATTGTAAGCATAAAAAATAATATAAAGACATATTTTAAAAATTAATAATGCGCAAAAGATGTTAATTACCATAAAAATTAGGATAAATGAAAGATGCAAATTGTATTTTTCTACTGTTAATTATGATTACAAAAAAAAAATTTTTTTAATTAATTTATACGAAATCTAAAGATTATGTACAAAAATGTTTTTACACGTATCATAAAAAAAAATTCTTACTTCATAAAACATTATGCACTACCAAATACTGCATGACATATTCAATTTATTTTCACTCATCTTCAAGGAACAAAGGTAACAGTGAGTTTATATTATATAAAAAGCACAATATTACGAGATGAAAATAATAATTTACTGATTGTGAGTATAACGAACTATTACAGGCGAGGGGAGGAGAGGGGGAAGAAGACGGCGTTTGAGGCAACAATTTGCTAAATAAATATTCAAATACATACGAATATTTGTGCATACAGTAGAGAAAATTGTAATTCCTTATTGGTTTTCGGATATTATAAGTTTTCTCTAACTTATTATAAATTATAATGTTATATTACCTGCAAAAAATCGCACGAGAATTTCGGAGCCAGCGTAATTCAAATCGCGATACTTCTGAAGTGGCGCCAGTTTCACTTCGACCTTAGTTCCTATTCACATGAGTGAAAATGGGAATTGACTGGACAAATCGTGAGGCTCGACCAATAGCAATCGTCCTCAGTAATGTACATATTTTATCGAGATATACAGTACTAGGTTTGTTCGCGTTGCTTGAAATTCTCAAAAAGTTCTGCACTGAAAACGAGATAAATATATATTCGGATGTTGAAGAAAGTGAAAGCGAAGATACTGAGTGCAAAAAGTTCAAGCAACGCGAACAAACCTATTGTTAGGTCCATTATGGCGAAAGAAATAAAAAAAAATTGTTTTTCAAAAAATTCATAAATTCTATTATATTATATATGTAATATGTATAAAATATGTATATTATATTAATATCTCCCTTTAATAAAGCACTTATATTCCTTATAATTATTAATATGAGAAAAGTATATTAAAATGGATATTTTATTTCAAAATATAGAATTCTAAAGCGCTCAAAAATATTCCATCGATTCTGTGGATCACGCATGGTTAGAAAAATGAATTGATTAGGAAAAATCCCTGCATCTCTCATATCAATTTATTGAAAGGATGACTTTCTCAGATCTTGGACTTTTCTATGGTGTGGTTGATAATTTCTCGAAAAGTAGCAATGCTGATACATTGATACAAGATGTTTGCAAGATGTCTAGTCACGTTTTGTTATGTGTGTGATTTGGTTTTTTACATTTAGGAAGTCATAAATATATTGGAAATGACTGTTGACGGTGCAATTAGCAATGAACAGGTGATTTTTGTCACGGGAGGTTATGATCACACTATCAAAATATGGCAACCGCATACAGGCGTCTGTCAACGAACATGTCAACATACGGATTCTGTATCCTTCTGTAATTTTGAAGCGAATAATATTTTGCATGTTCTTACACATATTTGATATGTATTTGCAACTTGATACACATGTGTATATATGTTATCAAATTACGCACATGTGTATATATCTATATAAACAAAATAGGAATAACAATATTATCACTGTAATAATGGAAACATTATTATAACTTGAATATAGAATTTTCTCTGAACTTCCTTAACGAGTTTTACAGCAAGTCAATGCCTTGGACATTACACCAGACAAGTATGTCGTAGCTGCTGCTGGATATCAACATATACGAATGTATGATCTAGCTTCAAACAATCCCAATCCAGTTATCAATTATGAAGGAGTATCGAAAAATATCACCAGCTTGGGTTTTCAGGTTTAATATTGATATTATATATTATTATGTATACTATTTTCTTTTACAAGCATACATGTTTATTGTTACTTCGACAGTTGATCTAAATCAGAAATATTTTAAACTACATTATTCTCTAATAATATTTATATAAGTATATCTTAATAATATATATATATATATATATATACAAACAGGAGGAAGGAAAGTGGATGTACACAGGTGGAGAAGACTGCTCTGCAAGAGTATGGGATTTAAGGTAAATTATTTATATGAACAAGGATGAGATTTGTTTTCAATTTAGTAATCACTAAATTCATTGACAGATCTAGCAGCTTTCAGTGCCAAAGAATATTTCAAGTATCCGCACCTGTAAATTGTGTATGTTTGCATCCTAATCAAGCAGAACTGATAGTCGGCGATCAAAGTGGAGTTATACACTTGTGGGATCTTCGTTCGGATCATAATGAACAGCTGGTATTCGTGTTTTCCATATTTAGAAATTTCACATTCACATTCTTAAAATGCTAGAAAAAGAAAGATTTTTACTTGCTTTGTATAATTTGCTTATAATTCTATTTAAAAATGTTTACTGTGTGAAAAATCTGTTAAAAATATTTTTAAAAAAATTTTGAACATCAGATTAATTGTAGTAATTATGCTACTTGTGTTTTGATAAATATTTCTATCGTATTTCAGATTCCTGAGGCTGAATCCTCGATTCAAGATATCGCGGTAGATCAAGATGGTTCGTACATGGCGGCCGTAAATAATAAAGGACATTGCTACATCTGGACGCTTACAGGAGGTATTGGAGAGGAGCCTACAAGACTTAACCCGCGTCATAAACTCCTAGCTCATAAACGTTATGCTCTTCGCTGCAAATTCAGTCCCGATTCAACGTGAGTATTTACACATTTTATTTTACGATGGGTATTTCAAACATTATATATTTGTTACATAGCCTTATCATATAAAGCATATTCCAAAGATTATGCACTTTTTTTTAGACTACAAACATAAATCAAATAAAAAGAAAAATGCTTATTTTAAGTTTTAATATTACTAGAATAGAAAAGAATTCAGATTGTGCACCTTTAATACAATCCAATGTGGCTACAGTGAGGAGCCAAACTTCAATTATTTTAGATTCTATTAGCCATAAATAAAAAATTGCATAATAAGAATATATTTATATATATAAGTTTATAAGATGTTCTAAAAAGTACTATATATATTCTAATAAATGGTACAAAGCTTCATATTTTTTCTTACTTTTTGCCAAATAAGATTTGTATTTAAATTAATCTGTTAAGCTTGTTGGTGACGACGTCAGCCGATCAAACCGCCCGAGTATGGAGAACGACTGACTTTTCTGAAGTACAAGTGCTTCAGCATGAAGCAAAGCGTTGGGTTTGGGATGCAGCATTTAGTGCAGATTCCCAATATATATTTACTGGTAAGTATTGTATATTTTTACTCTTTCTTAATCCATTTCCCTTGCGCAGTAAGTTTTTATCAACGCGCGTAATACAGCAACTTGTATATTTTAATGAATATTCGTAAAAATAAAATCTAATAAAAATAAAAATAAAATCTGCAATCAAAATTTTACTTAATTTGTTTAATATTTTATGCAGCTTCTTCAGATGGAGTTGCGAGACTATGGAATGCATTTACAGGAACAATAGAACGAGAATATCAAGGACATCAAAAGGCCGTTATAGCTCTTGCTTTCCGTGACGAAATTGTTTCCGCGAGTTAAGAATAGAAAGTGAATATTTAAATATTATTTCTTCTGTTTTGCTTTCTATCAAAAGCGATTTATAATTTCAGATATATTGTGTCATTGTTACACGTGCAAAAGGAGTTTTAAATAGTAATATTTGTTTTTTAATACTATATTTTACTTACATATTATATACCTATACCATTTGTAAATCTTTCTCCCTCCCTTCTCCTTTTCAAAGAAAAAAGTTAATAATTTTAAAAATTCAGTGAAAGATTCATCAAATATATTCAAAACATAATAATTGAATAGTTTAGTTATTAATTAAAATATCATTAAAATATGTTTGCGAAATTTTTGTTTTATATAGGTTCGGTGATTTCTAGTTTATTCTTGTCTCTTATTTGGTTTATTAAATTCGCAGTCTTAATATAGGTTTACACTTATTAAAGCATATATCACAAAGCAGCATACAACTACATATGTACGATAGACTCTTAAATATATAAATGAATATATACCAGAATATCGACAGAAAACGAAAATGTCCATAACAATTCATTAAATTATTTTCATTTACATAAATTTAGGAATACATCTTTATAGCTTTTCTTTCTTTCTCTCACACTCGATTGCCGACACCAACGAGCGCTCTTTATTTTTACGGGTAAACTTTGTGCGGTTATACATGTCTGTGTGTTTCTCTCTCTCTCTTTCTCTATCTCTCTCTCTCTCTCTTTTGTCGTTATCTTTTATAATAATTCATGTCAATTATTTCACTAAGATAAAACATATTTAATTCTTTTTAATTGAATATTTATTTCATTAATTTAATCTTAGAATGCATAATTCGTGTTCGATGTTTCGCTTTGTCATATTTATACTCTATTATAGACTATATATGAATAGAATATGTAAAATGATCTTATGTACGTGAGATGTATGTGAGAGAAAGAGAGAAAATATTTTATATATTATTTTGCAGTATAATGAACATCACAAATACTCCATCTCCCCTACTCCTGATTGCATTTTATTAAACAGTTTTTTTACAACATTCATGCAATAAGATAGCTTTTCTTAAATCCGAGTCGCCAAGAAATATGATCATTGTTATATAATCGATTTCCTCTATTCTAGGTTTTCCTTTATTCTAAGTCAGCTGTCTCTCTTTAAACTTTTCTTATATTGGGGTTCTCTTCATACACTCTGCTCTGCCACTATTCATATTTGTGAAGTGCTCACATATTAAAATGAGTGAAACACGTAACGGCATTTTTATTCTAATATTATAATAAATGCCATTATAATAAGAAGAGGGACTATTTAGAAATCTTAAAATAGAGGAAAGGCTCGATCTCAATGACCTTAAAATAACAGAAATCGATTAAATCATTATTATATCTTTCAATAAAAACTGTAATAAATTATCCAAATAACACCATTATTTGCAACTTATATGATCCCACTTACAATCTGGTCTTATTTCATTGTTTTCATCTATAATAGTTTTGACATATCATGAGAAACTGTTCCCTATAAATATAGCTCTTTTTGTGTAAGATTTACTACACTTTTGGCCTTTTACTTTTTTCTTCTTTATTTCTATTTGAAATAGTGGCCATGTAGAATTATGAGATCATCTTCAAATGAATCTATTCAGATTGTTACGATCAAATTTCTATATTTGTAACACTTTCATTCTCAATCAATTCAGCTTTTTTAATTCCCAAGCTATTTCATATTTGCTATTTAACGAGAAATGTGTAGAATGAAAATGTTGTGCTTATGATCAAAACAATATTTTTATTTTATGCAATGTGCCATTAGAATAAGGTTCAGATTTAAAAACAAAATGGTCGTTTGTCTCTAATGAGTTAAGAATATGGTGGTTTCAATTCCGCATTCTAAGATTAAAATGTAAAGAATGTCTAACAATTCGACTGCACATATTCTTGAATAATTGGATCGCGGTAATTGGAATATTTCTTATATTATTCTCGGCTTACCGAGAACACGACGAGTGCAACATTGCATCAAAGTCATATCATAGATGCACTGGATCATAGATGAGGCAATCTGTCTACTTCACCCATTTCTGTAAATGTTTCATCGTCCATCGTGTAACTTAACATAAACTTTAGATATATGGGCTCCTGAAATCATAAATTTTCCATAGAGATAAACATTGTGTGATTACATTTCTGCATTCTTGTAAAATAGATTATTTTTTGTCTAGATAAATGTATTGAATAACTTAAAACTAGTAAGCTCTTCAAACTAGTTCCATTAAATGTTTTTAATGTATTACATGTTATGTAAAATTATTTGATAAAACACAGTTTTATGTTCAAGAATGCAAAATATCGTATTAATAATATTGATACAATTTTAATGTGCTTTATTTTAAATAACTGAACTATTTACTTTTGAGAAGATTTCAAAAGAAATGTAATTATATACCTTGAAAGGATTTGCAATCAGCATAATTTGTGTGATTGCGGATGGTGGAAGGAATGGATTATGTGCTGGCAAATTTGTTCCGGAAGGTGGTTGCAGCCTGCACTTGCATTTCTGCATACATATTTCAAAAAGTTATAAAAATATTTATCTTATTTTATAAAAAAATATTGTAAAGTTGTTAGATTTATGAATGTTAAACATATATATAAATGTTTGAAATTGATTGTTTAATAATATTGTCTTTTAAGACTTCATGTTTATATCTTTGATCTTCAAAATTTTATATTTTTTTCTAGATTTATGTGCTTAGTAATTCCTAAGAAATTTAACGTTAGTTTTTAATTATTGGATATCATATTGCATATCCCACAATAGATTGGATACTTACCTTGGGCACAACTGCTTGAAATAAATAATTATTAAGTGGTTTTGCGTTTTTGCTCATCGTAGTAATTACTACTACAGATACATCTGGTCTAGGACTGTCCTGAGTAAAGTGGAGCACCACACTTATACCATTTCTTTCCTCGATTACTGTTAGAGGCGGATTTATACCTGTAAAATATGATTGGTGTTATGTGAGACATATAAGAAATGCAGAATAAGATAAACTTAAAATTTACTTAGGCGTCAAGGAAGAATATGTATAATATATATAATATCTTCAAGATTGACAGTGATATCAGTCAATGGTTTGATTCCAGGCTCAGCATCTGCTATCGTTGACGCGCCGTTAAGCAATTGCGTCACTTCTGCTTGCTGCTGTATTTCCGTTTCTGCATTTTCGGAATTAATACTTTTGTTGCACGACAGATCAGCGGTCACGTTAATTTTTGACGAATTTGAAGATGTCGAAATGTCAAAATTACTATTTGACTCGCATTTATTTGTATCTGGTTGTTCTGTCGTGATGTGTTGCGATATATTATTGCTAGATTCATGAGACCAATTTTGTTTCCGAACAGAATCACTGGTACTTTGAGTTTTTATAATATTACTATTGACTTTGCTGTAAAAATATTAAATCTTCTTTTTTAAATTAGTCTAAAAAGTTTTTATATGCTGCGTATATGGCATCAAGAAGATCAAAGATATCTAAACCAAACGATTTTTAGATAGTTTTAGTAAACCTTTTTATCTTTAGCTTCACTCTCTATACATGTCTTAATATCTTTGTAATATTAGCATTTTCTTTTGTATTGTTCTTCATTTTGCTAAGAATATTGAGGTTTGACTGTTACTCAGTCAGTTACTATCAGTCATTGAATCCAGGGAAAACTTTTTAGAAGGATTTAAAATCCATAGATATGCTTACCCTTGTGACGAACGAGCAATCGTACCCGACAAGCTTTGCTTAAGTAAAGTTTCTCCCAATTCATTTAACTCTTCCAATGCTTTCGCTTTACTATCTATCTTTTCCTCGCCAGTGTTGGTAACTTCATCTATCAAATATCATTTAAAAAAATAATACAGTGAATAAATATGCAACAAATAAATTCAAGAAATAGTAGCAAATTAAAGGTAAATATCGCTTAAATAATTTAAAAAACAACCATTTTTTGGCTAAATCTTCTTCCTAATCACACTTACTTTTCTTGTTCATAGGTGAAATACTGATTGGTTGCATGATGGCATTCGGCATCAAGAAATTTGTGTCCGATTTGACTGGTTTCTCTAACACACTGAAGATATCTCCCAACATGTCCATATCCGAGCGATGATTTGTCGACGTTGTGCTCTGTGTCGTGCTCTGTGTCGTGCTCTGTGTCGTGCTCTCGCAGGGAACACTCTCAGTGGGAGACGATAAGTCCAGGAGAGATGATCCATTATTAAAGCTTGGTTTAGAAGATTCTGTCGCGTAAGATTTGGGAGATTGCCCGAGAACAATAACGGATGTATATTTCTCGAAAACTTGATTCAACTCATCGCTCGCAGTTAGCACATCAGCTGAAGTAAAATGCATGGAAAAATAATTAAGGAGATTTGTTGACCATAGATTAGTGATAAAGGAAAAATCTGCACGAGCAAAATAACAAATGGTGATGCGCAGTCCAGTTTATGTACTATATATTATTATTTTAGAGAGAAATGAGCAATTCTTAATTATTTTTAATTGATTATATCTATATCCTAATCGTAAAATTCTCTAATTTTTTCAGTGAATAAGTAAAGCAGATTTACAACTGAAAATCGGTGATAATTGATGTATAATAAAACATGTAACATACCAAGCATTTCAACATCACCCTGAGTCTCGCTAGCGAGCCGCAACAAAATAGGTTTCAACCGCTCGCACGCTTGATGTAACTCCTTCATCAATTCAAGATCCTCTGTGCTGGTTTCGTTCTGATTGTATGAATCCAGCATTTCTGATAAGAGTTTCACATTGTTGTGCACTGATTCTAATTCCATATTCCTTCGCGAGTTTAATTGCAGTCTTTCCTCATCCTACAAAAATAGATAATTTGTAACCAGAGCTTAAGAAAGAAAATTTCAATTTACATTCCAAGAATGTAAAATAGGATTTTAAGAAATGTCAGAAGAAATCGTGAAATATTTGAGGGAATCTGAATCTAAGGATTTTATTGTAAATATTCTTTTATATTTTATAAATAATCCTACCTCTTTCACCATAACCTTGATTAATCGGTTTGCAGTTTGCAGATCATAAGGATCCTTGCTATGAAGTAACTTGCGCAAATGCCTTGACATCTCTTCATTTTCAAATATATTGTTCTTTATCTTAGATGATTTTTGACTTTCCTCACTGTTAGCCATTATAAATGCTGCATCTTCCTGTAATTTATTTTTATTACATATTGCAAATATTTTGATATCTCATTTTTAGAGTAAAATATGCATAGAATGTAATAGAAAGATAATAAAGTGACTATGCATTTTGTGACGCTACCAGTATTGCAAGATTAAGAAAAGAAAAATGCCATAAAGCTATAATATAAAACTTTTTAATTATAAAACTATAATTATAAAACTATAACATAAAAAACTATATATATAAAATAAATAACAGATATAACCTCAATGACTCCTTGTTTCTTAAGCATCTCATAGGCCTCCTTAATTTTCGACTCGCGAGGATATTCTCTAATCCATGTGTAAAGTAATTGCAATACTTTTTGCCGTACGCTTGCTGTTGTGCGAGTGCCTAAATATTTCGGCGAGACGAGTTTTATCATCTCATTGAGAAAGCGGAATTTTCCGATTTCGGCATGAAATAACGGGCCGCATCTTTTCATACAAGTATCTAGTAACTGAAGAAATATATAAATCTATTATTTGATTATTTATTTACAGAATTCTATAAATTTAATACTGAAAATTTCTTGCTAAGATTAAAATTTCTTATTATTATGTCATTAAAATATATATTCCTTAAAAATTTGACTTATACTAGTTTTAAGATACATATCTTAGCGTCATCTTTCAGATAAATCTTTAAATAGCTTAGAGATATCGACATATATAATTAATATTTTATATATATTTTATATTAATTACACATGTAATTAATATAAAATATTTAATAAATTGTACAAGCATTAAGATCTGTAAAATATTCAAAAATAACATACTGAAAGTGCTTGGAGTGCTTCTGACTCGTTAAGTGATTGGATATGTGTTGCCAATAACTTTGTGCCTATTTGTATACCTTCCGATTCTTTGGTAAGCATCACGCAGAATGCTTCAATCGCTGCTATGTCTGGCTTCTGATTTTGTGAATTTGTAGCCCTCTCTATATAACAATATATGTATACATATATATAAAACTTCATATATGCCAAATTAATATGCTACTAAAAAAAACTCCTATACTTAAATACAAAACAAAGTGTTCTAAGTTAATTTTTAGCTTCTACTCACGTATGAGAGCTTCTAAGCTAGTAGTCACCACATCCATGTTTATAATAGTAATCACTTATCGCTGCATATAATTCTTGTCGATACTTCTACAGTGATTAAAATGACACCTTTAGCATCTTATGTAAAAAATTCCAATTTTCTGCAATATCATGTGAAATTGTCAGTCATTAGATGGAACTCACGTTAGAATCACTAATTATTCTTGCAATTAAATCTAAGCTAGTAAAGCTCGGTAATCAGTTTACGAATTGTTTATCTATTAATGACTCTCACTTAATACAAAACATCGGTTTTCGTTGCTTTGTGTCTAATTTATTATTTACTCGCTTTATGAAGCTCCTCAGCATAGAACAGCTGTTTCTGCCACAGGAGCCATCCTGACTCCTGGCTCTGTCACTCTGTGTCACTCTGTATTGTCTTCACAGATTTTTATCCTGCTTACACTGTGCTATACGCTATCATCTAACTTCTAACATCACTTCATGCGATTTGGGTTGGCATCACCGACTGTGAGAAGATCAGATGGATCAAATAGGAGTTTGACAATTGAGAGGAGCCACGCCACCGTCTTTCGTAAAACCCTGCAGCCTACAGCAACGCCATCGCATTTATATTGAAAGCTGGAAATACGTAGTCACAAGATTTTTTGACTGTCGATAAAATCGCCATTTAATCCATCATCGAGTGGGAAAAAAAGCAATAGCCAATCAACTTACCGATTTTCCGTAAAAACGAATGATTGATTGGCTACGCTATAATTTAGTACCTCGTGATATCTCGTTGGTTGGAGTGCGTTCGGAAATTCTACCGGTGGTGTAAAGTAAACGTTTAATTGACCAATCGGGACAAAGGGAGCAAAGACTTTTTTGTCCGATTGATCAATTCAATACTGATCTATCCCAAGAGTAGGATTTCCCATCCTTGTAGTGTGGATTGATGCATATGTCAATACGTGCACGTGCTCATTTTCGATTCAGCTGAAAAATTTAAGCTAATATTACCGGTAAAAATTGATCAAACTAGAAAAAAGTTTTATATATCTTTGCATTTTACATAAAAGTAAATATTTCTTTTCAGAAATGAGTGACGCTAAGATAAAGAAACGTAAAGTTTCTAAAAAAACAAAGAGATCTTGGCGCAAACACATCGACATCAATGATGTTGATAAATTTTTAGATAATAAAAGGTTAGAAGAAAGACTGGGTGCCCCTTTCTCGAAGCGTGTGGATTCTCAACTATTTGTCGTCGACAAATCTGAAATCATCACAAATGCTTCTTCCAAACAGGCTGCCAGGTTAGCTTTAAAGAATAAGGAACCGAAATGTTTTGCTTCTCTGAAGCCACATACGCAAGTTCCTGATCCGATTTCTAAAAGGAATCATGTAAGACTCAGGAAAAAGAAAGAAGTTTTAAAGGATAAAACTCTCACAAAAACTGCTACAAATTACATTAAGAAGAAAGAAAGTAAAGGCGATATATGGGCTGTCGCAAACGTATTGTCAGAAAAGATATGGCCGGAAATAATTACTGAATGGATGTCTTCAGATAGTGTTAGACATACGATCAAACATTTAGGAGTGCAAAAAAGAAAATTGCCTTCATCGTTACAGAAAAAGCCATCTGTTTTACCAGTAGTAGAAGTGCCACATCCAGGTACATCATATAATCCTTCGTATACTGATCATCAAGACTTACTTCACCAAATTGCTCAGAAGGAATTAGAAATTATGAAACAAGAGGAGCATCTTGATCGAGTTACTACTCAGATGTTTAAAAAGGCATGTCATCAAATTTTTGAGTAATTATTACATATAATCTTCCTAATTCTATAATATACTAGTAAAAATTTTATCTTTTACCTGCATTTGATGTGGATGTAATATTATCATTGGTTATTTTATATATTATTTTTACTGTTAATGTTAATTTTATATAATATAATGTTAATACTATCCTTATTTGTAACTTGTATAATTTTTTTAACTATTATTACATACACACATATATATATATCTTAGATATAAATTTTTAATATTAGATTTGCATTTTAAGATTCCACTAAACAAAAGAGAGGAGTATTTAATGAAAGAAATGTCTGAGGGCTTGCCAACAAAGCAAATAACAACAAATTCAAAATTTACTGAAGAAGATAACAATGAGGAAGATTCATCTATCACAATGGCAAGTAATAAACTTGTGAAAAATGCCAAAAAAACTCTTGTGCAGAGAAGAAAACAAAGAGAACAGAAACAAGAGGCTAATGAACGTATATTGATCAAAATTGATAAGAAGAAAATTTCTGATGTCTACAAACTGAAAAATTTGCAACGACAAATAGAGGTCAGAGAGAAGAAGCAAGAACTTTTGCGACAAAAACGAAAGATGAAACGTGAAAGAGAGTCTATTATGCCAAAGGCTCTAAGTAAGACTAAATTTGAGCCCTTGGATCCTGACTTCCTGCTTCCAGAAGAGTTGACTGGCAATTTGAGGAATTGTAAGTCCTCCACAAATTTACTGAAAGACCGGTATAAATCGCTTCAACAGAGAAGTATTGTTGCACCAGCTGTCATAAAATTGTAAGTACAAAAAAAAATAGATATGTAAAATGTAATAATCATATATAATATCAGTGAAATATATAGGTTTAGAAGAATTTGATAAAAGAAAAAATTTTTAAATAATAAAGAAAAAAGTTGTGTGTGTGCAGTAAAAGAAATTATGTAATGAAAATTATTAATTAGCTCTTGAGAATTTTAAAAAATTATTAACAAATTATCTCTTCAAGGATTTTACTTCACATATTGCTTTTTTTTTTAGGAAACGTGACAAAGCAAAGATGAAGAAATTTGTGAAACCAGATCATAAAATAAACCTGAATGCTGTTAAGTTACGACTTCACAATAAGGTTTGATGCTCTTACTAATATATTTGAGATATCATATATATTGTTTTTATCTAATAAAAACTAATATCTGTAATCAAATCTATTATTGGAGAAATATATAAAAATGAGGGAAAGGGAAATAAATACATTTTCAATATCCATCTTAAGTTAGCCACCCTTCATAGAATAAAGCGGCAGTTACCAATCTGTTTTTATTTCTAAATAAGGTATATATATTCCTTTCATCCAAATTTATTTTTGCAGCTTTATTTTTGTCATTTATAATTGCACATTTTTTATTCAGTTTTAAGATTTATTAGTACATATTTAACATCATAGAGCATCTGTAAATATGCTTGTAATTGATCAGATACACACTGCTTCTGATATTTAGCAATAGCGAGTTTCTCTTTCTCGCAATAAAGCAAAATTTCCAACTGTTTTACATACATCTCACACTTTTGTGCTTTAATCTTAGCATTGTCTTTGTTCACCACGTATTGCTCTTCCGTAAGATGATTGAATTTGATTATTTTGGATAATTTATTATCTGTTTTATTGTGCATTTGACGTAACATAGCAATTGTGGATTTTTCTAATTTGGCGATTACTATGGATCGCTTTGCATTCAAGTGCGCATTGTTGATTTTGTTTTTATATTTTCCTTTTTCATTACTATGGAATAATAAATGTTGCCATATTAATAATTTACAGAAATATAAAATCAAATTAAAAGTTAATAAATTTAGAAATATGCTAAAATCTATTGGCTTACTCATATAAGATGCAATCTTGTTTTTTAGGAATTATGCCTTCCACAATCATTGATAATTGATTGCTTATAGCTATATTTTCTGACAATAACTTGGCTATAGAATGTGGCATATGTTGGCCTACTTTAAGTTGAAACGCACTAGCCAGATCCACGAGACAATTATATAAGTTTTTTTTGAGTCTATATAAATCAATACAATTTTAGTTCCCTTTCGATTAAGAAAGCAAAATTTATTTGTTATACTTTTCTCTGTCAATCCTGAATTTGTGTTCAATTTGACGCAAGCTCTCTGCTACCTGTTCTTTTTGATGAATTAAATATTGATTTTTCATATTCAATTTTTTTTCCAGGATATGTTGCATTGACTTGTAATCTTCCAAAACATTAGTTTTAGCGCCTTTTAACAATGTGTTAAGAAAATTTTAAATAAAAAACTTAATCATTTGAAAAAATTCTATGAAATTAATCTTTAAGAGAAAAAAATTTATGATAAACTTTGTTTGTAAACAAATTGTAACATATTTAAGATCTGTTACTGAATTCTTGAGTTACACAAACTTAAATAGATGATTAAGTAGATCATACAATAAAATTTCTACAAATTAAGAGCACATATAAAGAGCATAAATTTGATCAAATGAGATTGTATAAAATATTAAGAAGCAGTTACTCAAGAGCTTGATTTGTGAAATGAGCATGAGTCGTTTGTTTTTATATTTTTCATCAATATTTTTAGTTTTTTCAGTGTGAGTGAATTTATCATTAATCCTTGATTTTTCAAGAGCAGCTAATTGATTCTTATACTCCTCTGTCCTGACTGTATAAGAAGTTATTTGTGAGTTTAAACTAGATATTTCTTTCCCTTTCTCTTCTTGCAAAGTTTTGATGGAATCATCTGTATCTTCTAAAGTATTCTCTAATTCCTTATTCCGTTCTTCTAATCTATTTAAAAAATTGTTTTTGTTATTATATAGAATACTCGAAATCAACTGCACCTTTTTAAGCACAAAGTTTTTTTACATATATAAAATATAATAAACACATTCCCTTAATCCCAAAGTTAATCTTAAATTAATGTACGTCCAAAAAACTAAAAATATTTTTCTAAATAAATACCTTTGAATTCTTTTATTTGATTCTGCAATTTTTAAATCATACAAACATTTTTGCGTGTTAATAATGATATCTTTCAGCTTGGTTTCCTTAAAATCGCGCGACTGAAGACGCGATGGTAAACTGACATTGCCCTTATCTTTTCCATACAAATCCATTTTTATTATCACGACAGTGTCAATATTTCGCCTAACAATTTATTTTCATAATATTTAGAAAATATACGAGAAATGCATTTATAAATCTATTAAATAATCGGGTGACATTTGTGACATGTTGCGCGTTTTATTTGAAAAAGGCGCTCATTATTATAGGATTATTTTTCGATTTTGCGATATGTAGGATATATTACTATTTGTCATGAAGAATTTATCGAACATGAATCGATTGGCTATTGGTTAGAGAATTTCTAGAATTTCAAAAATTTTCTGCAATAGCAGCCAATCAGACCTTCTATACAAAGCTTGTCATACCATAAATAGAATATTACCCTAAAGTGATATTGTTGGAAAATTTATTTTTTGACGTTGGCACCCCGGAATATTTCTCCTTTATCGCACTTCACTAAACTTAGGTTAGGTTAATCAAAATGGACGCACAGCGATGCCGTTTACAATAGTGTGCGATGATATATGTATATTCCTACAGATGATTTCCTTATGTGTAAATGCGCCAAATGTGGATAGACCCAAGCAAAAGTTTACTATTTCTCATGATAGAAATCTGCGAGCAAACCATTTAAATATTATTGAATACGTTTTAGATATTCTGTGAATTAATAGTATATATTGCAATTTTATATTGTATATCAAATTATTTTTGTAAAAAATTTAATTACTTCAGCTTTCTCTTATATGATACGATGTAACTTTTGAGTCGTATTGGACACCTACCTTATTAAGGATTAGCAATGTGTATTGACTCTATGTAAAAAGTTATCTAAAACGATCCGAATTTTGAAATATTGAGACTCGAAATTGTCGAACTGCCCTCGTATATAAGTGTGCATAAAGCTATATATTATTACAATTCATTCAGTTCGATCATTTGCGAATAGTTGACGCGAGTATAAGGATAACGATTTGATAAGCGGCATAAGAGCAACGATCGTGCTTTATACGAAATATTTCGATACGTAAGATACAAATGCTCGAGTTTTCGTAACCATGTAAACAGGTGAATAACATTGCTTAGCATTATTAATATTCGTATCATAAAATTTAATGCAGATAATTTTAATTATAATATAAGTGTGATATCATATGAAGTCCTTATATGTTCTGTACATTATATTTCAGGTAATTGGCAATTATTTATAAGTTGCTATTCTTGCTGTTTTTCTGTTAATTTGGAGCAACAAATTTAACATTTTGAAAGCAAATTCCAAAACAGTGCTTATAAATGCAAAAATATGACTCTCTCGCTGTGAATAGTGAACGTTGCAAGATCACAAACATGTGTATGTTATTTAACAATTGTATTTTGTTATTAAACAATTGTATAAAAGTATCAATGTACTCGGCACAATATATCACACACAAGAACTACATAAAATAATAAATTTGTAATGCAGAAGAAGAGAATCTATCATTGTGTCTTGGTAAGATTATTATAACGAATATCTGTATATAATAAGCATTTACACAATGTCGAATTATAAGAAAAGTTCTAAGAAAAGTCCAGATTGTAATCTAAAAGAAGCCACAGTACTCAAAGAAAAAATGCAAGAAACAGTGAAGAAAAAAGAAGACTCCTCTGCGCGACCAAAGTGTAAATTAGATTCGAACGGTTGTCTAAATCTTCAAGATATTCTGCTCATGTTTGATAGTCCAATAAGTCAAGAGCGAGCATGGGCATTGTGTTATCAAATAGTCAAAGGCCTATCGCGCTTAACAGAGAACAAGTTTTATGAGATATCAGAACTCTGGCAAATTGTACTTCATAAACATGGAGACATCTGTCTTGAAAGTTTGGCAGGTGATTTTTTTACTGTAAAATTTACGATTAATTCAGAAATTATATACTATTATTTCAAAGTTGAAAATAACTGGCAAAATAACTTATGTTACAGGATCCAAGCAATCTCTTGTTTCCGAAGAAAAGGTAAATAAGTAATAATAAGTATTTATTACACTTTACAATATAAATGGGGTAATTATTTCATAACTTTATTTAAATTGTATTTTTTGTCATATAGGCCATATTCTCTTTAGGCATGGCAATTTTTAAAGCCTTGGACTTTGGGTCTAATGCAGGAGAGGAAATAGCTTTATCGCCAGACCTAGAAACCCTCATTACATTGATGACAAGTTGTAATCGAGGCAAATAAACTAAATCATTTTCTTTACTGATATTTAATTATATATTTAAACAGAATTTTACATAGTCGAAATAATTTTTTGTTTTAAATAAGACTAAAATGTTATTTTATTACATTATTAGCATCTGAAGGTGATGTAGAAGAACGGTTACAAGAGACCGATGATGAAGGCATCGAACGGGACTCGGGTGACACTGATGCAGAAGATTATATGATGCCGAAAACTACTGAATCATGTACAAATAGTTCCGTTTGTACCTTGAAGACCATTCTCCAAGTGAGTGTTTATATTCTTTCTCTAATTTTTACAACTAATAATTAAAAAAAGCCAAATAAATATGAGAATCACATCATAAAAATCCTTTTGAATGTTTAAATCAATTTCGAGAAAACGCGATGGACAAACAGTTTTATCTTTTAATGTCTTAATTGCATATAAATCAAGTATAGAATGACATTTGTTGAGCCACAGAACAGAAGGTTATATTTTATTTTAGATATGTGAACGGCATGTGCAAAGTTTACATGAAGATGCTGATAATTATTACCGAAATGTAATACAAATGTTTGTGGAGGAGGCTCTTAATCTCTCTCAATTTCTGGAAAAAGTGGTTGTCGATAAGCAATCACAAGATTTATACAGTCCGAGCATCAATGACGCTGATCGTAATTCTATCTCACTGCAGAACATTGATACATTGGATTTCAATGATTGGGTAAGTTTTCTCAATAAATACAAGAATATACATGGTGCAAGATATCTCTCATTAACAATTTTTGTGAAGAGAAAATAACCGACTTATAAGAATCTATTTAAGTAATCTATAACAGGACTAAAATTTCTTTGTTGTACTTAAATAGCACTTTCTTGTTTCACATTTCTACTTTAAAAGAAAGATATATAAAAAATATACAAGGAATAAAATAATAAATATATAATGATAATTATACATATATAATTTATTGATACAAACATTTATTGATTAACTGCATTTGCTCTTATAGACAGACGTTAGAATTTGGAGGGCTATACAAGTACGTTTATACAAATGTTCAATGTGTTTAGCAAAATTTATGACGATTATTTATTTTATTGTGATCACATTATTATCTATTTTAATTAGTGTTTCTAACTATTTTCTAACATTCATAAAATCAATATAGCATGCTTCAAACTTAAACACATGCTGCATGATAACTGAGTTTACTCACATTTATGTAGAACAAATCGGATTTTATATTAATGAAGTTAATATTTTATTTATATTAGAGAGAATTTGTTTATTATTATAAAAAATGATTTATTATTAATATTAATACTTTTATTATTAATATCGATTATTTTAAGAATGAATTGTATAAAGGCCTAATTTGTAGATTGTTATTTTATTTACTTTAGGTGATTTTTTACTGTCATTTTATGTTAACAAGAATATTCTGCTACATTGCTAGTTCCTATTTACTGCAATAATTTATAAATAATAATTTTTTAAAGTATTATATTACAAAGAAATTAGTATAGTACCTAGTGTAGTGTTAATGAATAATATTCGCAAAAATTTTAAAGCAACTCTTATAATCTACTAAAATCAAATAATTTGAGATAATGTATATGTAACCACAAATATCTCCTTTTTTTATGAAACTTTTTTAGCTCAGTTTATCGGATAATAATATTCATTAACACGCTCTAGATTTTATTACATATACTTGTGGATGATAATATTGAAACTTTATTAAATGTATTGTTAGGCTAGATTTTGGGTTCAAGTAATCAGTGAGCTAAGGCGAGGGGTGAAATTGAAGAAAGTGGAAGCCAATTTGGGGTCCCGCGCGTCCTCGCGCGCACAAGGAAATCGTCCGGACTACAAATTGACTCCTTATGAGATTCTGATGGACGATATTAGGGAGAAACGGTATCACCTTAGAAAAACGCCACCCACACCCTCGAGAAAGGACGCGCACGCAATTATTCTCGAATTCATTCGAAGTCGACCACCTCTGAAAAAGGCAAGCGAATATCTAGGATACAAATAACTAAACGCTAAAGAGCTATATTTTACATTCAGCACTAATTGTGCTTGTTCAAACTCGAGATAACACGATATGCAATCTTCACGAGATGAAATATATCACAAGTTCAATATATATGTTGAATCTCAATTCAATACATATTAATAGGATTCATTGAAATCGAGATATACTTATAAAAATCATGGGAACGCATCCTATACAATTGTAAATTATTATTAAGATAAAGTATGAAACTGTATTTATATCAAATAATATCAATTTGTTTAGAGCATAGAGTTGGAACTTTTTGGGCATGGTTTGAAACATAAAAAAAAGTCAGAAATATATTGAAGCCTATTTTATTGGTATTTTAAAATACAACACTAATATAGTATAATAATAATAAATGACAAAGGCTTTAGGAAATATATGTGTTTAAGAATTTTGTAAAAAAAATTATTGTCTGTTATATCTTACTATACAGGCCTCGGAAAGACGATTACGACCGTTACAGAAAGAATGCACATTGAGAGAATTACTCATGGAGAGTATAAAGAAGCCTCCAAAGCCCTTAAGATCTTCAAGTTCGAGACAAAACGTTCCCAGGGTCGAAGAAACATCAGTTTGTAAGTCTATATATTTTATGTATTTGTAGACACTATATTTTAATGATGGACAATAACTCTATTTATTTAATCTTCTACATTGTATTAGAATTACTGTGTAACATACTACATGTATCTGAGTTGTACAAATTTATTTTTCTTTACTCTGGAATATGAAATTATAAAGTATAAGAAAATTGTGAGAACTTAATTTATAATAATTATTTCTATATATAAAATTAATGTAAAACTATTTAAATATTATTTTATAGCTTAGAAGTAGAAAGAAATAGAAGGTAAATTTTTCCAATATTTTTATTAAAATAACGCGTTTGCATTTAATTGTCAATGTGTTAGAACTATTGTCTCTCATTAATTTTACGCAATATAATAGAAATTGAAATTTTATGCGAATGAATTTATAATAAAGGTCGCGAATAAACCCTATCTGAGGAAATTTGATTAGAAATCATCAAGAATCATTAAAAATTATTTTATTAAAACACAAACTCTCTTAAAAGAATATAAATCAAAATTTAAAATTATTAATTATACAAAATATAAAATAGACTATATAAATATAAAAATATTGTTTTAACGCGCTTTATATCAGATCGCGAGAATTCGATATTGAATCGCACCCTATAGTAGATGAATCACGATTTGGGGCGCTACGGGCGCAGAACAGAGAGAGAAAGAGGGTGAGAATGGGTTGGAGGGAGAGGAAAAGGGTACCTGGACACGATGTAGACACGATCAATAACTGAAAGCGTGCAAAGGTGGACTGACGTTGCCCGAAACGTCATCGTAGCACGCCAGTCCAGTCGGATGTCAACCCTTCCTCGTGAATGTCCTGGACGGGTTTATTGTTCCATCGATGCGACTGAAGGATGCATTAATCTTTGCTTCGAGAATATTCAAAAATCCGTAGGATAATGAATCGATCGATATCTTCAACGTCTGCAAATCTCTCTTTGTGAATAATCTCGCGAAGGATTTACGAGTTCGGGATAATTTAAAAAGTGATTTAAAAAGTGTTGTAAAAAACGTGAACGTTTATTTGTTCTCCTCGTCGCTTATTTTATAAAATATATATGTAGTGATTATAAAGTTCAAAGGTAAAGATCCAAACATATATATATATATATAAAGAATTTATTAAATATACATATTGCAGACTTTTCGTAAAATTGATTTTTTCACAAAAAGACTAAGTTACAATTTTTATAAAAAAATCTATTGACAATGACTATATTAATAAAATATTTATGACAGACACATATATGATGTAAATGAAAATATGTGTCCTATATTAACATATTGCTTATAAGAATACAAGATTCAAGCTTCTTATAAAAACTTGAAATTTTATTAAAACATTTGTTTTTAATCCTTTAGTTTTTATTACTAGAACTTGTCTATTAAAAGCCATTAATTTTTTGTTTATTACTTTTTTTTTTGTCAGATTATTTGTAATAAGTGAAAAATCGCAACGATTGTCACGATTTGAGCACTCTATATAATTTATTTTAAAAAATTCAAAATTTTAGGAATGTATATATAATAATATAAAAATTGAAGATTTGATTTTTTGGTTTAGTTTTATAATTTTAAATATGCAATAATTTGAATTTATAGATCTATGAAGAAATAATAAGAATCTACAAAATAAAAAATTGGCCTGTTGAATAATATATGTAGAACCAAATATCTTTCCAAATACATCTGTAGAAACGAGGATATCTAAAATTTTGCACGAGTATTTCCGATTCTCTTTTCTGATCTCTCCTCATCTTCAAGAACTCGGATATATTCTTCGAGATGATGAAAATGATATATACACCCGAAGTCTCTTGTTTCGACACTTATTTAAAGATGTCACAAGCTGTTACGTGCTTCTTTTAAATTTATTGTAACATCGTCAAGTCAGGATCAAGAGCCGCTGCTGCCTCCGTTTTGTTACAAGTAATAATCCTCTTCAAAAGAAAGAGAAAAATAAATAAAAAGATAGTGCGAATATCAAGTAAAAGATGAAAGGAAACTAAATAAGATAATGGACGAGAAAACAAGGCAACGTGCGCACGCGCAAATAATTTTGAAGCCGTGAATAAATAAATAGCGCAAGTTGACCTTTTGATATTCAATAAATTAGCTTAGGGTAAGTGCTCGTCGCACTTAAAAATATATTGTAACAAAAATTAATTAAATATTTGTGTATGTTTATTATGTAGGATAACTTTTTTTCTCGCACATATTAAATAAAACTTTGTATAATAGACTTTTTTTTGGAAAAGAGAATGTAGATTTTCTTTAACAAAATCTTTTTCGACAATTAAATATAGAATCTTTCCACATAATTTTTGTCTGTGAATGAAGTCTTCAAAATAAATAAATAAAAAATGTAATCATATCTTGAAGTACAATAAACAATAAACTAATGCTGCCTTGCTGTCATGATTTCAATTTGTTTCAGGCGGCAAGTCTCGCATGATAGTCCTCGGAGAGGTGCCGCCGTCGCAACCAGAGCAGGAGCAGGAGTCTGCGCAAGATGTTGCGGCTCAGTGGTTGCAGTCGGAGGATCAGAGGACGGCGACGTCGACAGCCGGCGGCGTCCTGGCGGCAACGAGCCGCAGAAGACAGGATGTACCGCCGGTGCCGCAGCCGCGGCAAAGGATCGCCAAGGAAAGACCCGACGTTAGGGTCTTGCCTTCCAATAGGAATCGTAAGTCGCGTAGAAGGCGCATTACGGTCGCAGGTAATCATCTCATTCATCATCTTCATACATATGTGAGTGTGAAAAGTATTTTAAAAAATTACCATTTTAAAAAGAAGTAAAAGAAAGCGTAAAATCTCCAAATATCAAAACAAAGAAGTACAATATAATACGAAACAATAATTAGAATGAGATAATCGTCAAATTTTGTTATAAAACGATATTTGGTATTTTTAATAAAATAAATTTATATATTTTCACATATAATAAGCACTAAATTTTTTAAAAAGAATTTTAATAGATAGAATTTATTTTTATTATACACTTGCAAATAATTTAAAGTTAGAATATTAATATGTGCAGTATACATAATAATTAAGAATGATAATGTATATAAAGAAAGCTGTGTGTGTGTCTGTAAACATAGAAACTAAAAATTTTCATAGAATTGAGACATTGTCTTTGCTAAGAGTCTAAGAAAATTATTTATCTTTAAAAAGTTTCTAAAATTTAATTTATTATCTAATATAGTGAAGAGCATTCATGCATTCATCAAAAAATCTGTCTCTTCATTTCTAGGTCATCGCATAATAAATACATAAATCATAATATTGTTGCGATTTTAAAGTTTGCGCCATTAGTACCAATCTAGATTTGATTATTATGTTGCTAATGAATTAACTTTGATTTTTCAGATATAACACAAAATGGGGAGAATATTAAGGAATATGAATCATCTGCGGTACCAAAACCATCTGGAAGAAATCTGGATGCTATTAGACGGCCCAAGAAATTGATACCTGTCGACTTCGATTTAAAGGTTTATTTTCGTATTTTTTCGATTAGCAATATAGTAAACTCCAAATATAATAAACTCCCGTATAACATGATACTTCTATAATACGGTAAAAAATTGTGACACATATGTATAAATCACTCTTATATAAATTTTAAAAATCACCCTAAGCAAATTTCAAATTTTGTGTTTTTTGTAATAATATTATTTTTAAATTATGTACAACTCATGTGTATTGTACAACATATGTCTTATTATATTACAAACGGTCTTTACTGTACATATATAAATATTACTGCATAAAGTGGCGTTCTTTATTCTAATTTAAAACTCGAATAGTAATGGCAGGTTATTCATTAGATGCTGCGGTAACTATAGCAGTTAACTTATTTTCATATCACATCTTACAAGTTCGAAGAATACGAACATCACAACTAAATAATGCTATCTTTCACATAGTTGGATGCGGAGGATGACGATGACGACGATGATGATTACAACGAAGAGGAATTTGAAACGCGGTTCGAGGAAGAGGATGAAGCCTCTAATTATTGGCAATTAAAGGATTACAACTTTGGAGCTCGCGAAGGTATGCGAAACGGGCACAAAGATTATCACCAGCAGAGAGATGACGACGAAGTAGGATCCGCGAATCCTTGGCGGAAAACCGGCGGGCTTCGTCTAACCAGGAATGAGTATCATCGATTCTGCGATGCTCAACTAGAATGTAATTGTTATAAATAATATTTGAACCTTTCCTCCTATTATTTGTTTACTGTCTTATAATCTTTCTTCCTTTCCTTTTATGTTATTTCTTTTATAATCCTTCCTCTTAATATTTCTTTTGGTATAACACTTATAAAAACTGTGTTGTAATGTATGAAATCCACTTGAAGGATGACCTCTTCCATTAATCTTGGAATCAATTTTTTCTTAGTAGATATGGACACTACCTTTTTTAACAATTCTTTTTAGTCTTTAGTAAATAATCCATAAGCTTTCTATATTATTTTCTTTTCTTTGCTGTATTCTTTTCAACTACGAATATTCAGTGATTCATATCAGTGATTTAATTGTCAATATATTTTTAACGTTTTTAAGTAAATTATAATGATTAGATAAAATTTATCTAATTTTTTGCTAAGGAAAGATTTATTCATAAAGTTCATTAATAAAATGCTAGAGTTAAGAGATTATTTATATTTACAGGTTTTTAACTTTTTGAGAGAAATGAATCTCTGTGCTTTTGCATCAGATTAATAAGAAAATTTGTTTGTTCCTTCTCTCTTATTTATGATAAAATATTAAATGAACTTGTTAATTAATATAATAATATTTTTGAATAGACCAAATTTGAATTGCTCCGAGAATGATCAAAAGCAATAAAAACACGAAATATAAACCATATCTGTTTTAGAATTTCAGCTTGAAAGATATTGAAAAATAGTTATGTGTAAAATTTCATTCTTTCTGATAAGTTTATCAAAAAGTCGATATCTTAATTCATGTCAATTTTAAGGATGCGATAAAAATAAAATTTTCTCTTTATAGCTCGAATTCTAACACCGATTCAAATACATTTTCAGTCGAGCAAGAATTTATAAAAAGTGAATTTATAATGGTTCCCGGAATAATTCGAAAGTGAAATTGAATTGAAAATCCCTTACTGTTTTATTCTATACGTGAAATCTTTCTTGTTCGATTTTTAGCTTACGATTTAGCGACGCAGTGTCCTTCCCGGAGAGCATCTGCAAAAAAACATGCTGCAAAGTGTACTATACCATTAATGTCACTCACGGGGACGACATCCCTGCCACAATCAAGACCGCAAAGTCGACAACACACTGGTCTCACAGATTCGACACTGAGCCAAGGTCCGAGTCCTAACATCAGTTTGAATCCTAGTCCGAGTCACAGTCCGCAACCACGTGCGCCCAGGCAACCGCGACGGGCGTACACAATCGCACACGAGGGTAAGGATGACAAAGCTCATGGCGATGAGTGGGAGGATGATACCGATAAGGTAAGGAACGCGCACATATACATAATATATATGTATATTTGTTCTTATCTTTTTTGTAAGCAAATTTCGGATATAACCGCGATCAACACAGATATTTCGATTTGAATATACATAATACAGTACTTCTCAAACTTTCCTAGACGCGAAGCGAAAGATGTGAATATATTTTAATATAAAAGATGATGAATATTCTTATAATTAGTCAACTTAAAAAGCGAAGTATATAAAAAGATAATAGATCAAAACGTTACGAGTTAAATTCACGATTAAATTTTAAGAATTTAAATATTTATATTATATAACATAAAAAGCTTAATTGAAGAGTTAATCATATTTTACAGAAGACGATACTAGGGGATATGCTGCTGGATGAAAGACTGTCGTTAACATTGGACGAAATCGTGCACATACGTAGCGTGCTCACGAAGGCGGAATTAGAGTCCCTTCCCGTGGAAGGACGTGTTAAAGAGGACGTGGAGAAAAGACGCGTTTGTTTCCTCTGCCTGAAAACGCGCTTCGGGATCTTGGGTCCTTGGGGACAACGCTGTCGTTTGTGCAAGAGGACCGTTTGCGTGAAATGTTACTCGAAAGTCAGTCTTCAATTATTGCATACATTAATATATATTTTTGATTACTATAATACGAATATTATTTTATTTTATTCTATTTTGGCTGTGTCCAAAAATGTGTCCAAAAATTAATAGAAAGTAGACATATATTTTTGATAAAGCATGCATTATTTTCGATAAAATCTCTCTTTGAAGTCGATCATATATTGACAAATATACTGAAACATTTATAGTTTCCTGTGTGAATTAAATATTTCAAATTAATAATTAAAAATTAGATTTAATTGAATTTTAGTTGCTAAATGTAAAACGCCTAATAACTCTAGAGACACACATATATTTGACTGATTTGATTAAATTTTAGTTATTAAAACATGTTAAATACTTTTTGACATTTCAATGTTCTTTCAATCTAATGGCACCAACACCTATATTTTTAGATGCGGATTCCAACAGAGCAGTTTGCCCGAGTGCCGGTCGTGCTGCTCTCCCCCGGATTATTACTTTCACCCACGGAAACGGAGACCGGCAAAAACACTTGGTTAAGGAATGCGGGAGCGGTCGGCTCGGCACCGGCTTCTCCCGCATCCAGACGAAAGGATTCCACATTACGCAGTGGCACGCCCACTTCGACGCCGACGATGACACCCATCTCCGCATTAACACCAACGTCAACGCCACCCTCTCATGCGCGTCGAGAGATGGAAAATCAGGGATTGGAGAAGAGGTCAGTGCGTGATATATTTATATAATAACTTGAATAAAACGCTCAAGTGTTCCAAAATTAGTTATTTAACGGAACGTTCACAATATATTATATGAGATTTATTGTTACGACAATTGTTTTTATATTTTTTAGAATCCAATAATTCATAAAATCAAAAAAATTGAAAGATTTAAAAATTTATGTATTTGTGATCTTTTTAGAGAGAGAGAGAGAGAGATAATTAAGTAATAATTAGAAATATTTTCCAAGCGAAGTATATTATTTATTCTCTATTGAACAAGTGTTTTGGTACCAAATTTAATATTAACTTTTTAATTAAATTTACTGTATTTTACATGTTTATATTTTGATTGAATAATTTTTATGGTTTATACACAGATGCTATAAGGGCAGTGGCAGCCCCGCTGCTCTCTCAACCACGAAGACGTTCTCTGGCTCAAGCGGGCCGACCGCCGAGCAGCGTTTGGCAGCGGAACGGCTACGTGGTGTCGCTGTCGTCGTCTGCCACGATTGTCGCATCATGGTCATCCAGATAATCAAGAGCTCGAGAACAACACGTGCGACAATACGCAACAATGTCATTTCCCGTCTCACTCTGAACCTCTCCCCTGCCTACGTTTAATCCTTCTCACTTCTTGATACCATTTCCATCAGTGACTGCTGTTTCTACTATTGTTTTCTCCGTGTCTAGCGGAAATTCGTATTTCACTGTATACGTATCGGTAGCGAGTCGGCAACAATTGTTGTCGCGACTCGAAAGAAAGAAAATACGTGTCTGTATGTGTAGACGCAAAATAGGACAGTCATTCTCTTATAATGCGTGTTGCAGAACTACATTAATTTTCATATCGTAAAATAATGATAACATAAGAATTATCTGTATGAGAAGTGGGCATGTCGAAAATTTTTTTGTTGATTTAAATTATTTAAATTATGCTTTGTGCGTCGAGATATTTGTTTGTCCTGAATAAAAGTTTTCCTTTTTTTTATTGATTGTTACTTTAAGTCAGAAGAAGTCAATCAATGTTACGATAGTTTCTTTAAGATATCGATACTGTTATAAATAGAGGCGCGTTGATCATTTTTCATCAGCCTAACTAAATGCATCACTAGAGTCTAACTGATGTTTATATAGTTTGTCCTCGGAAAAATTTTATTTTTTCGACATAAAATGATTTATATAACAAGGAAAAAACCTATATATTTCATTATTTTGATTTTTTGAAACTTAAATTATTTATATTTTCTTATATCTTCTAAATTGTATGTAAAATTCTAAAATTTTAATGATTTTTCTAGCGATTAAATATTTCACTTTAAGATATCTTTGCGATTTTCACATATGAAAGTGCTTTTTTACCATATTTTCATAATATGCAGAATCTAAAAATATGCAAAATTAAAAGCTTTAACAGTTACAAATTCAAAGATTTAAGAATCTGTGAATCTGTAATACACTTATAAATAATTATCTTTTTGGTGCAACAGTAAAAAAAACATTTTGTAAATAGAATATTATATTGCTTATTCTCTGTTATAGATAAACATCTCAATGCACAAGGTAATATTAATTTCCTGATTATATTATATCTTACATGTCCATATTTTACTTGAATAACCGATTTATTGTCTGTTTATGTTATTTATTTGGTATTGAAATAATATATTGCATTTAAATTTATTTGCTACAAAAAAGATACTAGTTAAGAACGGTCGTATATATGTAGCAAATTTATATTATGTTATACTATATCATTGTTTAATTATTGTTATTTTTCTGTGTTATGTTATTTATATTAGGTATATTATAATTTATATATCAAAGTAAAACTTCCAACAAAATTAAAGCATTCAAACAGCTAAAAACCTAAGAATTAGATTTAAAAAGTTTCGGCAATGGAAAGATGAAAATAAAACAGCCAAAGATTCTAATGTCGAAAATTCTAAGGATATGCAAAAATTTAAAAGTATAAATGTTAAGAATATAAACTCGAAGTAAGAATCTCAAGATATACAGATTCAAGGATTTAATAATCAATGATCTATAAGGCTCAAGGAATGTAAAGAACTACAAATTTGAGATATTGATGAAAGTAAAAATTCAATGGTCAAAATATTTGAGCGACTGTAAATTTAAGGATCAAAATGACCTTCAAGAAATTTCTTTGTAAAAAATTAACTTTTTACAAAAACCCATCTTTTTTATTTTTCACGTATCTTTGATTTCAACAATTTCTTGACGACACGAATTTGAATCCTACGTATCATAAATGCTTATGATTATATATTGCTATATTTTATAGGATAAAGATAAATCCTTGGATCTCTTTCTCTCTCTAGCTCTTTGCTTTTACATATCCTTAGATTCTGAGATACGCACTTGATTTCATAATTTCTTTATATATATATAAATACTTTATATAATATAAATCAATCAAGAATCTATATAATATTATGCCTCAATATCATAGAGTCTTGAATACAAAAACATTTGGCTGCTTATTTATATAGATCTTTGCATTTTATCGATTATTGTTTTTGTGCATAATTTCTTAAAATAAAAGATCTCTCATTCTTAGAGGTAGATTCTCAACATACTCTATGTGCAATGTATTTAGATCTCTAGATTCACATTCACAAGAAATTCACGATTTGTTATTTCTAAAATCCTTGACTATCTTTTTCATTATTTATATCAAACATTGCAGATTTCTAAACAAAAATAATGTTAATTTAGCTTTTAATAAAATATGTAAAACTGAATGTAGAAAATTAAAATAGGCAATATCATCGTTGGTCGTTTTGAATGGGAGCAGAACCAAATAGAGGCGAAGCCTTAGAAGAATAAAAATAACCGATAAATCATATATAGAAAATGCATTCTTCTTGTAAGATATTACTGTTGATCTTCCATAACACGTTATGTAATAATAACATGTTCAAATATATTGAAAAATCAACTATATTCCTCACTAAGAAGTATACAAGATATTCCAAAAAGATATATTTCAGTAGCTTTATTTGTAATAAGAACATGCTTATTTCAAAGATATAAATGAATAATAAGCTTTAATTGAAATATTATAGGCTTAATTTGAAATTTGCATTTCTTATCATTTTTGGGGACTTTATTACATATCTATTTTTCTTAGTTTAAATAATGCTACAAATAACTATAGTTTTTCTATAGATAAAATTTCGCAATATTGCGATGCATTTAGCGCTATGCTCATGTGTTTTCATAAAAAAAAACTTACAGAGATGTTCTCACACAGACTTGGCTATATTTAACGCTAAATGAACACTACATAAATATGAATATGGACCAATGTTTTTCAATTAATATGGAAAGATAAAATCTTTGACTTACTCTATCTTTTTTTAGAATATCTTGTATAACGAATAATAATGTTCAGACAAAGAGGTAGAATAAGGACAAATATCGCAGAAGATGAAAAAAAAAGCAAAAAAGAATTATACAATTTATTATAAGTATCTTCGTATATCAAAGTGAATAAATAAATAAATTTAATAGAAAGTTTAAAATACAAGATGACGAAGATAAATATTTAAATAAAATAAATTCATAATGCATTTGAAAATGAGAGTCTAGGAATAATATTAATTGATCACACTTGATATGTCTGTGTTATTAATTAAATAAGATTGATATTTTGATGATCAAATATTATAATTAATTATTTTTTTGTACTTAATTGATTGAGTACGTAAAATAAATTGCGATTAGTTCTAGGATAGTTTATTATTAGTTTATTATATTTTGCATATTACTTGCGCAAATGAACGTGTAGAAATATGTATAGAAATGTTATACGAATTATGTTAATTGTATATATTGTAAATGACTTCTTTTACATTGTAAAATACGTCTCACAACGATATTATTTATTCCGAATAATTTCTGTAAGCGCAAACAAAAAGCTATGACACACAGTGAAGATCGTTATTGAAAGAATGTACATAAGTGAAAGAAAATTGATCGGATTGCGATGATTCTGACCGTGATCTTAATCATGATTCCTGTAATATGGTGCAGAGTACAAAGAAGTGAAGTAACGAATTATGAAGTTACGTTGCAAGTAACTCCGAAAAATGTTTCAATGTTGAAGCCGATAAATAATATATATACATATATAATTATATAATCGAATATTGTTGCAAAAGCTTGCGAGGATCTTATAAAATTTGTAGGACAATTATATGATACCACGAATGTAAAAATCCGACAATCGAAAGATTCAAAGAGTTTAGAAAAAAAAGAAAAGGAAAAGGAGAAGCAAAGTCTAATGACGCGAAAATGAAAATTCGCAAATCTAGAAATTTAAGGATCCAAAAAGTAAGAAGAGGATCCCTAGAAAGCACGCTGAAAGCATTTTCGCTGGACTTATGAAGATGAAATTCTTATTTACGCAGATCTTTTCTCTTTAAATCCTTCTTCTTCTTCAAATGAGCCTTGTATTAATATTTCTATTAAAATATAAAAATGTTAATACTTGTCTGAGCTTCAATATTAAAGGATTCGTATAGAATTACGGAAGCTATTATGCGAGATCTCTCTTGAGAGCTGGAATATTGATTTTGCGTATATCCTTTATTATTTGAAATCTCTCTCTCTTGCAGAAAATATTTTATTCAGATCTTTGGATTAAAAAAAAAGAATTTTTTTCCAAAAATCCTTAAATAATTATTTCTCAAAGAAAGATAAAAATCTTGAAGGATTCAAAGATTTCATGAACTTAGATTTATGGCATAAAATGTAACAGGACTTTTGTAACAACGTAATACGTTGCAAGCTGCAGTATTTTCATTTAGCATTTAGAAAATATCTAATTAGGCAAATTAGGATCTATCTCCTTAGACAAAATGTATCTTGCTTCGTTTTGTCGTTATATGCAGAAACTTGATGTAAATTTGCGATTTTAGTCGGCTATAATGTAAGTAATAAAACGATGATGTATAAAAATGAAGAAAACGAAAAACAAAAAAAAATATCTTCGAAAAATATGTGTTAATATTCTCTTATTGTCAGTGCATTCTTTTATCTGTCATTTCCATTTAGTTTCACATGCCATCTATATTAAGATTTTTAATTTTTTTTAAATTTTAATTTTTATAAAATAATATTTGTCTACATTAATGTTCATCTTCTAAAATGTACTATATAAAAAAGGAAAGTTTGTTTTTTTCTTCACAAATTGTGTACTTAAAAAATATAAATTCTTCAATTCGCTATTGTGTGTCATAGCGATTCGAATGATTTTTCAGTTCAAGCATCACTGATACATAAAATTTGTATCTTTTTTTTTCAGATGATTCGAGCAAGCGACATACAAAAAGTGACATGCAAAAAGTAAAAGACCAGCTGTCAATCATAACATCATTTTTTATTTCGTCTCGCTTATTACACAAAAACAAGCAATACCGTGCTATGCAAGGGTGATAAAGGAATCCGCGGATCCTTGAAATTTTCGGGCATGATACGTTTATAATCTTATATGATTTTTTGCCACATATTCCTGTCGCGCATTTAGCGTTAGCTGAAGGATCGGGAGAATGTAAAGCTCCCTCTTAAATGCAAATCTAAATTTTTTTATTTTTCTAAAATATATTTCAACGCATTCGAGTTCTGTTGGATATTAATATCTCATTGAATTCATGCAAAATGTACAAGATAATGATTAAATTTAACATTCTTTAACGCTAAATGCGCGGTCAGAGGACGCAGGCTCTCAGGTCCCGTGTGTGGCTCGGAATTTTTAGCTTCTACGATCCTCATCTTGTGCAATTTTGATTATACATCGAGGTGATATATTTCATATATCACCGAAAGGAGCACGAGCTACCAAACGCTGCATTTCTTTTTGGGATTCATCGGCGAGCCCAGCGGGCAGCTGTAAGCCTTGGCAAAGTCCTCGCTGTTTGACAGGGGACCCAGCACCCGTACCGGACCGGGCGAATGCACGCTGCTGCGGATCTTCGTGAGAGCATCCTCCGGCCTCATGGAACCGCACCAGATCTGCGCGTAATTGAGGAAGAACAACTGATCGTGCGTGAGATTCACTCCCGGCAGCAACGGTTCTTCGCCATGGATAGAGACCCACTTCTTGTAAGCCTAACATTTGACGAAGAGAGATTATCGTTGACTCCGTATAAGTACGTTTCGAATTTAAATTTAAAAGCCCTACGAGCATTCTCTTTGAATCAGCGTATACTTTCAATTTATTTTTTTCAAATGTATAATTATCTGGTCTCTTTAATAATTTTCAGAAATTTAGCATCTTTGAAACGCACGTTGCCTTGCATATAATGTATTTCTATCATTACCCTGAAGGACTGCTTGAGACCGCCGTTGTCGGCGATATTTTCTCCTTGAGTCATTCTACCATTGATATATAGATTCACTTCCTGCAACTTGTATCTAGAATACTGGTCTACGATGCATTGCGCCCTTTCGCGAAATGCCCTGACAGTGGCATTGTTCCACCATTGCATCATGTTGCCGTCCTTGTCGAATTGACGACCCTTGTCGTCAAAACCATGAGTAATCTCGTGACCGATCACTACACCAATACCGCCATAATTTAAGGACTTGGGGAAGTGCTGAGAGTAAAAAAGCGGCTGTAGAATCCCCGCGGGAAATACTGAAATAATACCATACAAAACGATTAATGTTTATTTATCAATGCGATTACGATTAAGGTTGCATTGTTAAACTGATGAGATCTTCACTTCTTTTTTAATCTTGTAGATCTTCAAACTAAAATTACAAAGCGATTCTACATCGAGATTCCTAGATACTTGGAACTTCGTCGAATTTTTAAGTCGTGACGATGATTAGCCGTTAAAATGATGATAATGATGATTAGTAGATAATATACGCGACTGACCTATATCATTTTTGTTGGGATTGTAGAAAGCATTCACCACAGCAGGCTCAGTCGACCATTTATTCTTGTCGACCGGCTTTCGCAACTTTTGCAGATTATGATAAGCGTCGTATTTGAGCATGGCAAAGATGTTCTCCAGAAAGCGATTTTCCGTTATGTTTAGCTAAAATTAAATAGTTCTTTACAACACACGAATTTCGAATTAAAAATATATAAAAAAGAGAAAATGAAAAGAAGAAACAACCAAGAAAAATTGGAAACATGGATTTGAATCGTTTCATATGCAACGGCATAATAAAACTCAATATTTAAATCATCGAAATGTTCTCGTACATTTCAGATTATCAAAAAAGATTTTTTTAATAACTTTTTTTTTTTAGTGTTTTACTAACAATAAGATGTAAATAGATCTCATTAATCAGCCTAGAATAATTTATATAAATGAAATATAATGTACGATATCATCGTAAAATATAAAATTCTTACCATCACGTATTCTATACAGAGTTCGACTGGATCTTTCAAAAATTCCGGATATCCGATTCGCTCGTTCATCGAGTCGGCCTTTTTCTTCGCCACCATCCGGGTCTCGTCGTCCATCCAATGATTTTCGGTCAGCAATTCATTAAAAGCCTCGCGAATCGTTCGAATCATCTCTAGAGCAGTCTCCTGAAAAACAGTCATTCCGATTTATAAAGCAAGAAAATATCAATCAAATGTAGACCATTTCCGGAATGGAGGATACTTACCTTGCTCTCGTGATTAAAATTGTCGCGTATAAAAAGAGCCCCTACCGCCATTCCAAGTTTTTTGTTGGTCCATTCGACGCATTGCGACCATCTATTTCTTTCGCTGAGAATTCCCAGCAGAATTTTACGGAATTCAATCCGCTTTTGTTGATACTCGTTGATCATGTGAGGCATAATTGACATAACGAGCCGCCACAGAATGTAGTTGTGTAAAGTCCTGTAAAATTTATTCTCGATTGAAAATTCACAGATTCAAAATTTCGAAGAAATCCAAGATTTTTAAGTTTAATTAAATTTTACTGAAGGATTATTATAGTAATAGCCTCAATATATTTATGATCTTACAGAAAATGGAAACTTGAAGGGTTCGCAAAAAGAAAACTTGAAAATAATTTGAGAAAATAAAGAATCCAAGGATTTAAAAATTTAATTTGGTAAAAAATTAAGAGAAAATTATAAAACCAGAGGAAAAAATTCTATTGAAAGAATTATATCGAATGTGCTTATATCTTCACCTGCGATCCGTCTTTGAGATGATACGGCCCATCTGCACGAAATATGGCATTGCATATGTCACGACTGGTTCATCTTCGTCGATTGGCACGCTCATGAACTCTCGCAAGTAAATGAGCCACTGTAGCTGTGGTACTTCTCGCTGCAATTCTCGCAATGTTAACTTCCGGTAAATCGCCGAAGTATCATGCCTGTCCGCTTCCGGTAATGAAGCCTGAAACCACGCGGGATTTAATTAAGAAATTAAATATGTTTCTTAATTATTCCGAAAATTTTTTAGATAAACTACATAAACTTGCGATAAACATAGAGAGAAGACGTACATTGGCAAGCTGTTTCTCCAAAACGATCACTCGATTAAACTCCTCTCCTGCCGAAGAAGGATTCGCACCAAGCAAGATAGCGACGCTCGTCATATAATTATGATAAGCCTTCAATTCGGCTTCGCTGCTCTTTTTCAAGTAATAATCTCTGCTAGGCAATGCCAATTGCATCTGATCCAACTGCATAAATGAAAACGTTGTTATATTTCCTTACAGTGGTTCCTGAAACTACTTTCTGCTTTAAGTAAGTTAAGTTTTCTCAAAGGCAGCCAGTTTTATATTGGCAAGAAAACTTAGCGGGATAGTACGAGAGACGTACAGATAATCTAGACTTTTTTTTAAATCATATCTAATTGTAAGCGTAAGTTTTTCGATATGATATATATATGCTATTCCCTTAAATTTTATGACACACAATAATTATTTAATTGTTCAATTTTTTGTAATCATTCTTCCAACGATATAAAAAAATTCCTCGAAGAAGGAAGATTACATGAACAAATAAATGAAATATGATTTTATTTTAAATATTGTTTTAGAATTTTGGAATAAAAGTCCAGATAAAATTCAAACGACTCCCGTATGTTACGACGTTGACGTGTTGTATAGTCACCGACTGACGGGGCCTTACTTTGCCGGCGCACCTGGAGGATGTTGGCCGAGGAATTCTTATCGTCTGGACCGACCCATTGTTCCAGCAGCACACCCTCGTTGTACTCGCCGCGTAGACGACCTAGAAGGACTTCCAGCGGATAAGGCGGCGATTTCCAAGACGCTCCTACCACTGCCGGCCAGCCACCGAGACGCTCCAGGATCTTCTTCAACGGGGCGTCCCCGATCTCACGTATGCGAGCTGCGTTTTTATATCATTTCGTTTTTGTAAGATATGCGAGACACACGTTATCTCTTTTATGCGTACAATTTATGTTGTCAGTTTATATGAGAGAAAACTTTTTATTAATTTTAAATATTTTGATTCACAGATATCTAAATTCAAAATCTAAATTCGTCAAAGATTCTACAATTGAATGAAGGAGAAAGGGAGATCTCGATAATTCTTTTTTTTTTCGAGAGAGCATCCTGTATATCATTTATACCCACGGATGTCCATACACGACCTGTAGAACATCTTCGCTTTGAGAGTAGCGTTATTGTCGTCCGCGTTAGGCGGCTCTTCGAGTAGGCGCTTCAGGATCACCTGCAGCTGATCGGCCAGTATCTCGAAGGTGCTGACGGAGCTTCGGTCCTCCGGTATCACGTGCAATCGATTCCATGTGCCGCAGGCGTATTGAAAGAAGTCTACGCATGGCGCCGCGGTACTATCCATCGCCGTTAATAAACTCGCCGCTATATCGTCAATGAAACCCATCTTGTTATTATCACTCGATCTTTGATTAACTTATGACAGGTGTTTACGTTAAAACCACTGAAATCTGTACATATTGGAATGACGAGAGTGTCTCTTTCAAAGTATAACACAATCCAAGAAAGTTTATTTTATATCCTATAATGGGGAAAATATGTTTAGTTTTATAATGAATGCCAAGCAAGTGCGCTTTCAATGCGTATGCATTTAAAGAACAAAACTATCCCCTTTTCCTTTCTCTCTCTTCTTCCTTTCGTTTTTTTTTTCTGTATGAAAATGATATGAAAGAGCGCATTATGTTATGTACAGACTTCAATGATCAAAACCAATGATTATTCATCAAAAATATACTTGATTTCTCATTTTCTCTCTTTTCAATATATAAAGTATTATTAAAATAAGATTGACTCGTTTTTAGAAAAATCTAAATTTACGATCTAAAATCTTCGCAATTTTATCAATCAAAGTCATAATTAATTTGCATGACAGGTACTATAATAATTGAATCTAGGAATATATTAAAAATGTATCTTCTGTGTGTTTAGTCCTGATCATCAAATGGTATTTAATTCATATATCGGTTTATATTTATTTATGTGTATCTCTTCGCTTAGATTAATTATTATTATTTTAAATTATGTCACTGTTTAAAAATAACACGTAAAAAATTAATCAATGTATATAATGCAGCAACATTTAGTATTAATAATATTATTTTATTAATGAAACGATCAGTCACTGAAGTTGCTGTCTTGGCTAATTTAAATATCTGAGGAATTTTATGAAACGATACACATATTTCAAACCGATTTTGAAGTTTTGTGTCTTTTGAGTTATGACACTTTCACATCTATTACAAATTAAAATTTAATATAGGAATATATGATTTAAAAAATGTGTTAAGCGTTAAAAGAAGTAGAAATAATTAAAGAAAAATGTAAATAAATTTAAAAAATGTACCTGTTCGGACGCATTCTTCCGTCATACAAACGTTCGGCTCTGAAAATAGAGAAATACGATAGAGGTGTAATCATTATTTAAGATAATCTTTCACTTTTACATTGTTATTTAATTTCTTTAGATCTTAAAATTCTTTCGATTTCAAGATTTATTAAAAAAAGCCTCGTCGATAAATAATAAAGGAGAAAACTTACGAGGCTCTCGGACGCATTCACGGCTGGTGTTTAACGCCAATAGCAGAAGTATGAAGAGGCAAATTGCCAGCAAAGTGATAGCCAACACACCAAGTAAACGTTGTCTACTCGCTGTCCCTCTTCGTCTTCGTGTAATTGAGGTAGCACGTGTTATACCGATTGGCCTTTGCGGCTTGACCGGATGTTGGAGAACGGATGTGGTAGTACCGCCACGTGGACCATAAGTCACCTTAATTATATAATCGATTAACATAAAGCAATCCACATTTTTCTTCAAATCAAGCAAGAAGAAGGAAAAAAAGGTAAATACATAGCTTTTATTCATCGATACTTTAGAAACAAATAAAAATTTATTTATTTATTTATTTATTGATGACTCGAAAATGCCAAGGAATGTTGGCGAGGATTCTTAAGGAGCACACGGTACTCTGGAGCAGCTTAATCATCGAGATGAGATCCACGTACTTGAAGAGAATTCGCAGTGGGGGCACCGTCCTGAGCAATCGATCCCGATCCTGACAGATCGGCCGGCTGTTCGGCGACGACGGTAGTGGTTCGTAGATATCCGTTGTTTCTCTCGGACTTCATCCTCGCCTCGCTGATCCTTCGTGGGATGCCCTTTCGATGCGAGCGACAGGTAGCTCTTGCTCATCGGAGGGACAGTTCGCGATCCGCGGCGCGGCCTTCTCGCGATGCCTGCGGGAAATGCAGAACGCGGGAAGGAGATCTCAGGAGCTCGCAGGACACGCAGAACGAACGCTCTTTTGCCTATATTTGTATCTTCAGGTTACGATGGGAACGGCGCGGATATGCCGCGGTCCTTCGCGAACGCCTTCGAGATCCGCGGTGCGTTCGCGCGCCCGCAAAGTTGCCATTGCCGGTCAATCATCATCCCTCGAAGCAGATTTGAAGGAAGAGCGAGAGCTCTCTCAATCGATCATCATGCAATGGTTTAATTCTATGATGTAGCTAGAAGGACACAAATTTTTTACTTTTCACAAAAAGAGTTTGACGTTTGCACACTGTGGCATTCACGATATCTATAATTAACGAAGATATTATATAAAAAATACGATTAAAAAGGAAAATATATCTTAGATTTAGATTAATATTGATTGCATATCAATGCTTATCTAGCTTATCCTTTCTAAAATATTAAGAGAGAGACTAAAGCTTTATTAATTGATATGCATATTTTCTGCTTATATCTAATGATACAAGTAGGAGAATAATTTGTATCATATAAAACTTTCTAATATAAATCTTCGATATATATACTTTACACATTATAGCAATTAAATAATAATTAATAGCTGAATGTCTATTGAAAAATTATTAGGGAATTCGAAGAAAAGTTATTGGCTTTATTTTAAAAATTCAAGATGGTTTTAAGAAACCTTATTAAAGAAAAAAAAGAAGAAAAAACAATTTTTGTATAATATATTTCTTGTACAACGCATTTTAGAAGTTATTCGACAATGTGAAATTTCGTCTATGTTTCCATTCATAAAAAAAATACTATATTCGTATTGTATAACATCATATCTTTCCTACAATCAAAGAATTTTTACATATATCAGTTATGCCAAATAATTTTCATTATGAATAATTTTTTTATATCTTCCATTATGTTTACGAAATAATCCCACGTGTCTATTTAAATCAGACATATATATAATATATGATGATAAAGTTCTTAAATTTAAAATAACATTAATGATAAGTATTATATCGTAAATATATACATAATACACTGTAAAAATCACAGTTTTCTTTTATTTTTAATTATCAACATTAGACTTGATAACTTTGTTGTGAGTAAAAGATCTATTAAAATATAGATTAACTGAAGAAGAAAAAATTTCATTAGCTAATTATACATCAGAAACTCGATATTCCCAATAACTTATAAACTTCCATCGCTTATAACTTAAAAGGTATTACAACTTTGAAATAACTATGAATTTTCCAGTTTTTTTTTTTCGCATATTATTGAATTAGCATATTAAAGAACAACTCACCCTATATATACACGTATCAGTTTTCAAATAATTTCAAATAATTATGTTAAAATATATAATAATACAACAAAAATAATATACATAAAAGATCTTTACGTATTACACAGAGAATATAAAAATAATATATTTTTAATCAATTAATTTTTCGATAAGTCTTCGAATAAATCACATTGAATGCTTCAAAGAATTTGAATAGTCGACAATATATAAGACTCGCGCATTACATGGTGCTCGCATTTATCGATAACGTGTACCTGGCATAATTAGCGATCGGTTTAACGTTCATTACGAGAATTATTGTATTCGAGGTGACACTTTCGACACAATTTATTCACTGCGACGAACAAGGAACGATCCCATTAATAGAATCAAATGCGACGCAGGTACGTCTCAAGCGACGAGATTTGCGGTCAGGGCGAGTTCATGTTCGTGGCTCGTATACAGAAGCAACAAGCGTCCTGCGAAAAACTGTCGGGGGTGTCGATCGAAGCCTCCATCGTCGGTGGTGGCGCGATACCCAGAGAAGAGAAGACGCGGGAGAGGGTGCGTCGAGAGGGGCGGTCGCGCCGCCACGCGAAGGTACGGGGGGTGCCTACTCCGAGGTCGGGGGAAAAAAAAAAAGAACCGGTCGATGCTGCAATGCAGCGGTGGTCTCGGATCCGTGCTACGACGCACAACGGCAACGTCTCGAAGCTGCTCGGGGGTTGCTTTTGTGCAAGAAGGGGATGAGAGTTTGAGGATGCAGCGTGCGACGATACAATTTGTCCAACGTACACAGGGGCCCTTGCAAGAATTATATATCGGACAATCAAATCTGTCGAGAGTGTAAAGGATCTTGCAAAGTCTTTACTATCAGTAAAGACTTTCTTTTTGATAGAATTGATGCAAAATTTAATATAAATATATAATATAAATTTAATATAAAATCAGAATTTTCTCTCTTATACATATAAGTCTATAATCTATTAATAGACTGACGTTTTTTCATGTCCTTCTTTTTCTTCCAAGTTTAATATTTTATAGAAAAATTTAGAAAGGAGCCACGTTATCAGAAATCATTTCAAATCATCGACATGATGGGTCGATCACGATGAATATACGATAATTGAAGAGCTTATTAATTCGTTTTTAAACAACAAAAATTACCTTCTATAAGAAGAGTGTAATGATCTTAATTACATATTTATATATTATATCTATAAGCTAATTATTATAAATACAGAGAAAAAATAAGCGAGTTATTTTATGCCATGCATTATTTATTTATCGATTCATACATTTTTAAAAATTGATTTACATTTCCAAAAAAAACATTTGATTTCTATTATTACAAGACTCGGACGTAAAAACAATAGATCGATATACAACCTCCAACGGGACTTTGAAATCGAAAGAATACTGATTACGTGATAGTTTAAACGGTTCCGGCATGTAAAGATGCTCGCCCGGGACTACATATCCATGAAAAATTGGATAATATCGGAGTTATACAATAACAGATTTCTATGCGGATGCGTAACACAGATTCCGCGTATTGTAACGACGAACCCCTCGGTCTTTGTGCGCAGGTTTGTGATAATATTCCAAGATTGCGATCACAAAAATGTCGAGAAAATATGCGAGAAACGTCTTCGTGATGTCGCTTCAGAATTATAATTCGGGATGGTTTCGACACATCGCGGGTTCTTCAGCCGGAAGACGAAACTCGCACTCTAGAACTCGCGGCGTGAAACTCGTGTGTTACGAGTCAAGAATGTGCCGAGAAAAATATACAATTAGAAATTTATAAATATACGAAGCTGCAAGAGAGACACGCAGTTCGCAAGTAGTTCGAAGAAAGATGTATTTAATAAAAATAATAAAGAAAATATATGTATCACATTGTACACCGAACACAATTAAATATCTCGACTGGCGTTTCGTGTAGTCTAGGAACGAGCACATAAGAGTGACCGAATCGAGCAAAGTCGAAACTACTCTTTCTCTATAACATTACGTACTCTTATATTCGCACGATGACTTAACGCGATGACAACGATATAGTCATTTTTATAAATATTAACTTGATCTTGTAAAGTTTGTTTATTATTTATTTAATGCATCTTCTTCGATTTTTATATGTTTACGATGTTCTAAACCAATTTTACAAAAATAGATTCGACAATAAACGATGGCAAAAAAGAGCAATTAATAAAAGATTCCGAAGATGTTCGATTGTAAGATGGAAATATTACTGCTGGTGATAATTAAATCGATTCAAATCTTACATAATCTTATTTAAGCAAAAACTCGGCATGCAAATTCAGCACCTGTCGTCAAAGCGTTAAGTCCAATCTTATTCGAAGGAATAGATAGAGTACGTTTTCTATTGTTAATCACATAATGCATAACGGCAAATAAAAGATTAAAACGCGTAGCCACAAATGTGCGTCTCGACGTTCGTGAAATCGATCGAATGATCGACGATGATTATACGCTCATTGCTCAGCAACAATTAAGAGATCACTGCTTCAAAATGCTGATTTTTGTAGGTCTAACACATTTAGCAATTAAAAAAACTAAAATATCACATTTATGTAAATGTGTTTATTAAAACACAGAATTGCACAATCAAGGATAAATTGATTAAGAAATGCGTTTTGCGTTAAATATATCTACGAAAAATGCTATACCCTTTCTTTGAATTTTATAATAATTGTTAATGGTGGATCTACATTTTCGAAGGCCTATATTCCTGCAGAACTTTTCTAAACAAAAGTTTATTTCATGAAAACAAAAATATATATATAACGAATTTATATAATTTTTTATTACTAAAGGAATTAATATAAAGGTCCTTATGTCAAAAATCGTATTTCAAAAATAAGTACACATTGCTAGAAATATATATATATATCAAACCAATATATATATCAAACCAATATAAATCTTATTTTAATTATGTATATAATAAAATTTCATTGTATACATATAATTAAAATATAAAACGTTATATATATATGTATGTATATATAATTATTCAACAAAACAATTAACTGGACTAGATTTTAAAGTTGAAACAAAGATAATCACAGTTCCTGAAGCGATATGTTTTAGCGCATATCATGTAACAAAAAACTTGATTAACATTCAGGTAGATCCACTATTTGTAATCTATAGGCATGACATTTTTCATTAAGCCTTCTGTATGTAATTGTGATTTAGTATAGTTCTTTAAAGCGTTAAGATAAATTTCTAAAATAAATATCTTAATGTGTGTACGAGATATCTTTATAAAGATATCCCTTTGAAGAAAAGTGATTCTCTAATTGTGCTTTCGTATGTAGTGCATTAATTTCCATACCCGTTTACTTGAATTCTACGCGCGTCGAGAACACCAGAAGGCTCTAACTAACATCGATAGAGTGCTTAAAAATTAATGCACGATTATAACGAGTTTTGTTTCTCTAATACCGGCACGCTGTTACTCGCGGCCGGTTCGAACAGATACAACGAGCACAAGGGACAGCGAAAAATTAATAACCGACCTCTCGCGCGATTCGTCTCATCGAATTAAGCCGCGCGATAATTAATCTACGATGGCGAAGCCTCTCTCGTCGGCGCGCTCATGCACACAATAATACGCATAGACGAACACGCAACGTACATACATATACATTTTATAATTCGTTAATCTTGACATCGTTAAACCAGACGGTTATTCGACATTGTATATGTATTTGTTTAGTATAGTTCTTTAAAGCGTTAAGATAAATTTCTAAAATAAATATCTTAATGTGTGTACGCGAGATATCTTTATAAAGATATCCCTTTGAAGAAGAGTGATTCTCTAATTGTGCTTTTGTATATAGTGCATTAATTTCCATACCCGTTTACTTGAATTCTACGCGCGTCGAGAACACCAGAAGGCTCTAACTAACATCGATAGAGTGCTTAAAAATTAATGCACGATTATAACGAGTTTTGTTTCTCTAATACCGGCACGCTGTTACTCGCGGCCGGTTCGAACAGATACAACGAGCACAAGGGACAGCGAAAAATTAATAACCGACCTCTCGCGCGATTCGTCTCATCGAATTAAGCCGCGCGATAATTAATCTACGATGGCGAAGCCTCTCTCGTCGGCGCGCTCATGCACACAATAATACGCATAGACGAACACGCAACGTACATACATATACATTTTATAATTCGTTAATCTTGACATCGTTAAACCAGACGGTTATTCGACATTGTATATGTATTTGTGTATGTGTATTTATGTATGTATGTGTGATTACATTGACGAAGAAAAATATGTGTAGCGCGATTGTGGTTTTATTCGGATGATCGTCGTTCAATGTCGCAAGCAACAACGAGTGAGACTTCAATGCTAAACTTCGATGTCATTCCGTCGATGTCTCATCGACGACATACGAGAAGGAAAACGGGTCCAGTATATATCTCCGCGCATAAACCCTTTCCCTTACATACAGTAGAACTACGCCGAAAACGAGATACGTCCTCGAGATAATAGGGACGACCACGTCTTGAGGTTCGCTTATTCTGTCCGCAGACTCTCTGTTCGAAGGAAAGAATGTATCATAATAAGAAGATTATCTTTCATTCACGAAGGAAACGATTTCTCTTTAGCGATGGTGTAACATTGATCTCTTTCAATTTCTAGACGCGCGACGAAAAGATAGATCTTTTTCGACAAAATTTCTTGTTAGATCAGATTCGCGACGTCTAGCGTTACGTTATCGCCAAGGAAAAGTCGAAAAGCAAAACGGTCCAGAAGACTCAAAGCCTCTCGTTGATATATTCCCTTTCCTCGACATCTCGAATTACATCTCTGCACAACGTGCATTATATATACGAGAATATGCGACACAATATATAGCATGTATATTAATTAATTAACGCTGATCGCGATTGTCCCGTGATTGTTGATCGGCCGCGCCAAATGTAATAAATTATACATCAAAGTTACACGTCAACGAAACTTTTACAGACGAGAAAATGTGAAAGCGACGCTAATTCTCGCTATTAAATCTGTTTCCGTTCCTTTTTGGATCATCTCCAGTAATTGTTAACAAAATCATTCATGTATATGACACGAATGATTTTGTTAACAGTTATTTTGAAATCCGTGTGAATCCTAGAATCCCGGAAACTTCGAAATCTCGAAATGCCCAAGTTTTCGAGGCCTTGAATCCCTGAATCTTCCGTTCTTTGATGATCGCGTAGTACCATCGTAACGTGGCGGAGCACAATTTTTCTTTATCAGCGTGTACACGCGACGATTACATACATATAGGTCGCGTGCACGCACTCGCACGCAACTATCAGAACTAGGATATCGTTCTAAAGCTTCATTCAAAATTACGAACAAACATAGCGACAAGATATACAATACTTGGGCCCCCAGTTGTACTCGCGAAGCCCATTGCGAAAGAAAATCTTCAGGCTTGATTACGGACTTTCGCTTCTCGCTTACATACGGTTCGTTGCTTACATCTAACGCTGTCTTCTTCACCTCTTACGTGTGAATACGATCTCGATAGAGGAATGCGCGTGTCTGTCTTGCGACATCGTCGTCTTTCCTGTCCCCGTGCATTTGCCCCGATTGGGGAAGAAATCATTTATACGGCACGAACGAAACGTGATAATCGCTAACATTGTAACGGCAAGTACAATATAATAATCGGGAATATGTACGAAACGCGCGTTTTAAAAGTTAACGCAAGTCTGAATGTTCAATTGAAGTAAGATCGATCGACACCCGAAGATCAGCGTGTCTACGGAAATTCATTAGGCATTATATTACTCGCTCGTGCGCTTCCTAGGATTAATAGGATCTTCGTGTGTTTGATACTTAAATTAATAATTTATCGAATATCTTATTCGCATCATCATTATCATCAAAACAAACAATTCGTATAAAATAGCAGAGATAATCTGCCTCCGATCGATATTACGCAATACTTTTCGGCTTCTCTAGAATCGACTCGCTCGACGATCGTGCTTCCTCTGGCCGATCTTCCTAGCGACAATATGCTACGCTCATTCCCGTCGAATGGAATGGAGATTGTAGGTATATAATACTTTGTTAAGTAATGACAATGTTGCTCGATGTTACCGTGTGTCTGAAAGTATTGGAAAGCACCGAAAACAAACAAACGAATGGACGAACTACCGAATATTCTCTCTTTGTTCGTACATGAGGGCGTATTCGCATGCCGGCCTCTCTTCATTTTATCTTCGCATATATTCAGGTGTGTGTGTGTGTGTATGTAAATTATTTCTTTTTAGGAACTTATACTACTCGTGACCGCCGACGGTGACCCGACGACGATTGTTTCGTTCGCGCGGGTTTGACGAAATGCGTCTCCGTATCGCGTGTCCGTGTCAAAATCAAACTATATACATATACATATACATACTCGGGTTGTACTCCGATAATCTTGTGCGATCTTGATTTCAGTCGACGATAACTTAAGATTTTCTTTTTCTCTCTCTCTCTCTCTCTACTATAATTTACCTAAATGCGCGCGCGCTTCACCGTCAGCGGCAGATTTCATCTCCGCGCGGAGGAGGAACGCCAAGATCGCTGCAGCGTAAAAGTTCTCTACCTGCGGTGAGTCGAGAGGACCAACATTGTCTATAGGAAGCCGGCGAAGCGTGTCAGTAATCATTTGGCGCGTCAACGCGGTCGCACGTGTCTCCGGTCTCCGCATCTCACTATGGAATGTCGAAAGACGGAGCGGTTTTCGTGTAAAGGGAAAAAACTCTCGTGTACCGCGGCTCTTGCAGGACGCGCTCGTCTGATCGCTGGCCGAGAAGAAAAAAATTAAAATAAACGTGCGTTGCAACCCACTTAGAGCGCGCGATCGAGATGAGCTGGTCGGTTCGTCGTCTGCCTAGTTAGACCGGGCTTGTCTTGCTTTCGAAAGACAATCTCTCATATTTTCTCTCTCTCTTTCTCTTTTGATCCGCTGCCAATAATCAATCGTACAGGTCGAGGTCACCGGCTCCGTCTCAAGTCTCGAAGGAATCGTTTGCGCGTCCAAGTTTCATCGATGCGCGCGCGTGGATTTCTGATTCTCTTCAGTCCTCTCTCTCTTTTTCGATTTTTTCCTACTTTCTACCTACACTCGCCGATCTTCAGCCACTCTCTCTCTCTCGAACACGCTTGTAAGATTTTCTACTTTATCACAGATGTTTTATTCTCGATTTTTTTTTTTTTTTAATAACGCCCTGTCTATGCTTACAGCTCACTCGGTAACATTCGATCAGGGATTCTCGTCTTGTGTTCCCTATGTTGTTCGCATGCTGATGCGCAGATTACTCTCGATATATATTTCCCGTGTTGATCTTACTCTCCCTGTCCCTTGTATAGCCAACACGTGTTATAATCACAGCTCTCGGTCTCGCCATTACACGCAAGAAGACACGATCACACGCTAAGGCCTGCCTTAGTACAAAAATATACATTCGCTTCTTAAAAAATAGATCTTAGCATTCTGTACTGGCTAGCGTTCGTTTGATATTTTACAGTATTTTGATTCTTGGCAGGCTGCTTTAAAGGGTTTAAGTGTATAATATCGGTTACGAGAACCTCGCTGTCGAGTGAGCTCTCTCAGGGCTTATTCCAATCTACACGCTAGCTTGTGCACCATCCCTTTATTTTTGTTTCGCTTTCGCGACGCGCATATTCATAAATATTCGCGTTCGCGCGAACGACTTCGAAGCGATTTCGACGAGGCTAAGATGGAAAGCAACGCGGAAAGAAAATAGGCGTTTAAAACACGCGAGAAATTGAAGAGAAACTATGATCGTGTTCAACAACGGAACTTTATCGATGACTTTTGCATAAAATGTGCCTTCCATCTCTCGCCTCTTTTTTTTTTTATGAATATGGTGTCGACTACTCTTGCGCGACAACGTGCAGCTCGCTTGACTTGTGTTGTAATATACACCCCTTTCGGCAGGTTCAGTCTTATACTTGTGGTTTTGTTGTGTTATCATACACGTGGTTATTTAGTTGCGTTGTGCCCGCATCAAGCGGCTGCACGATTGCCTTCTACGATATTACTTAATACAGAGGACTCGCAGAGATGGTACTATCATATCACTTGATTTGTTTCTACGATTCGCGGATATATCCATTTATATTCAAACGCGTATCATTTCGCTCCGCATTCTTGATTAATTTTTCTCGTTCTTCCTCTATTCGCACGCTATTAAACTTGCTCTCGCGCAATTGTCACATGGTTTTTTTTTTCACACTTATGTATATTTACTCTCGTGTTCGTTATTTCTCTCTCTCTCTCTCTCTCTCGCTCATTTATCACACTCATACGCTGGATACCGCATCCCCAAATATATTTTTTCTTCTTCTTCTTCTTCTTTACGCGAAATTTCCGTTCGTTTGAAAGAAAAACGAGAAGAAACGTAAAATTACACTTCATAAAGTTTTCGTCCTGTCCCGCACAGAATCGATATTTAGCGAACAATTTGTTAGTACATTATGTCCGCGTATCGTACAGTAATAACTACGATTCTTGTGGAAACCTCTAGTTACATATTTCTCTCGTTTCGCGTTAGATTTTCTCTCTACTCTCCTCTGATGTAAAAATATACACGCGCGGAATACGAAATGAAAGGGCACTTGCACGAGCGTGATATACCTCAAATTCGTAGCCGTTGTCCTGGCAAACGTGTATATGTGTGTACGCATGTTCGCAAGGACGCAACAGTTATAAGGTGGTTATCTCTCTATGGTGGATGTCGCGTGATAGATTTCTCAATGAATTTACCCTTACCGCGACTCAGGTACATATTAAGGCCCGTTCATCTTGTATAACAGCTGGTCGTTTGTCGAAAAGAAACGTTTTTTTTTTTTTCCTCTCTCCATTATATATTGTTTCTCATTTTTGTTCCGCTTGTTTCTTGTCTCTCCGCTTTTTCTTTTACTCGTTTTCTCTTCGTATATTCTTCCGCGCGCGATTCCGCGTTGTTCGCGCGTGTATCCAGTGTCTCGAACGCATGGAGTGTCGAAAAGAAACGTTTTTTTTTTTTCCTCTCTCCATTATATATTGTTTTCTCATTTTTGTTCCGCTTGTTTCTTGTCTCTCCGCTTTTTCTTTTACTCGTTTTCTCTTCGTATATTCTTCCGCGCGCGATTCCGCGTTGTTCGCGCGTGTATCCAGTGTCTCGAACGCATGGAGATGTATGTACAGAAACCACATATAAAAAACACAATATTATACGTGACTACAAGTTACGATACACGATAATGTAATATATAATTATACAAGGGCTCGAAAAAAAAAAGTAAATAATCTCTCGAAATAGTAAACTGTGTGTATATACGGCTGCATTTTGGTATTTTATCTTTGTTACGGATCGCTCTCTCTTTCTCTCTTGTAAACACACTCTCAAAAAATCGTCAGTGTTAATTGTACGACAGAAATAGATGCGCACTGCGTCCGGATGTTGACGTATTTAAAGTTCGACAGATAATACAGTTATACATACATATACATACATATACGATTAGCGACTAATATCTTCGATTTTATAGATACACACTTATATTTGTGTGTTCGTCATCAGCGGTCGCTAAGAGCACGGTGAGTATAGACGATTATATATTTAAGTATTACTCACATTCGATTACTATTCGTTATCACCTGTCGAAAGCAATACATGAACAGGCTGTATTTCGAGCGACTTTTTTTCATTCTTTCGCGCCCACGCTTGTTTCACATACTTTATATCAAGCCGACTTTTTCGGTGCGCATACGTTAACATTTGTACAAAAGCGTCCGATTGGTCTTGGTATTAAAAATAACCTCGGATCGCTGTATCGACACTTCGCGTTCTTTTGTTGCCTTTTTCTCGAGCGCGATACTCTTTATACTCATGTGCGCCGCTTATTTAATGAACTCTTCGCGAAGTTTTACTAGAAGTTTGACTTTCGCACGTCATGCTCTTGGCGCTCGCTATTACCTAACTTCCCAGAGAATTGGAAAAATATGTTGTTGAACGCGCGTTTTTTTACTTACATACATTTGGAATTTTGTTATTCTTTCCAATGGAAGATCACAAGATCCGAATCTCTCCTTTTCTCTTCAATGTGCTGCAGCTTTTTCTTTTTCTGCTGGATAAGAGACCTTTGCGTATTCTTGTTTCAGTTTTGCTGAGCTTTACAGATCTCTTTAAAGATTCACAATGCAAACTTTGCATTGCAATCTTGTTCTTCAGCCATGTCGTTAAAATGCACAGCTCTCTTTGACCAGAATAGTATTGTAATTATATAAAATGTATTCTGGTTTCTTTTCAATATCGATTTTTTATAGGCGATAAGGACAATTATTTATCGTTCTTAATGCCTTAATATATGTACGCGTGATCATTTCTAGCATTACTTTGTCAACATCAAAACGCGATTCATATGGTTTCCCATAAGAAGAAAGTTACAATGCATATAAATCATTGAAGAGATCGTCTCTTTTAGCTGAAGAGATCGTCTCATTGTTTGCAAATGTGTCGTAATTTGCATTGAATATACCATCAACAAGTCGAAATAGATCTACTTGACTATAGTTTATCACATTGATATACGAATCGACAGAAATATCATAAACGAGGAGATTATATGTGCGTTTATCTCTCTATATCTCATCATTGTACCCAGTAAGATTCTCAACTCGATGAAACGATAATGCCGTTGATAACGAGATTTCGAACTTGTACGCGTGTTTCATCTATAATTTCCCGTTAAATAAAAAATCTCATAGAACAATAAAAGATGCAATTTGATAACGTTACTTCTGAGAATGTTGGTGGTCTGGAAATGATTATTGGGTAATCACACTGAGTAGAAATTTTCCTTGGCTTCTCATCGAGAATTATTTTTGATCGCTGAGAACCAATGGCATAATCACTTCTCTGCTGTCGCCTTTGAAAGGATTCAATATCACCATTGGTAGGTCCGAATCGCTCAGCGGCATCCAATGTAAACCCATTATATCTCGGATTTCCTATAAATATATTAACAAATATTCTTAACATTTTAAAAGATTCTCTATCTCGGCTTCACAATCATTATTCCCTTTATTAATTTTACAGAGTAAAATATCGAAACACTTAAACATTTGCTTTAGGTTTATTACAAAAATTTAATTTTATATTAAGATTTATTTATACTCACATGCGTGATACTTTCAGCTTTGTGCCACGATTCATTTTCAGATGTGATATCACTTTTTGCAAATACCAGCAATTCAAGAGTATTACCTCTGAGACGCGCGATGGCCAACAAATTCTCTTGATAATATTTGTGGCCTAGGAACACCATCTTTGTAAGCTTAGTACATTTCCACGCCACCAATACTAAAGGATCTGGACTGTATTTAATAGAGAATCATGTATATATCATACTCTAACTAAAAAAAACACAGTAAAAGAAAGCGCAAAGATATTTCTTACCTATTTGGATCGTTTGGATCAAATGTAGCTGGCATCTGTTGCTTACGATCTATCGAGTCTATCCATGTCAATGATTTCAGTGTATGCGAATACCACATTGATAATCGAAGCAATGCCCTGTTGTTAACGTTTTCACAAAATAATACTTTCAAATGCGTCAGTGGCATAGCAGGACAGAATATGTCGATGTCTAAAACCTTAACGCCGGCATAAGAGTGTATAAGGTTGAGCCTTAATTCACATTGTGGACTGCAAATAAAGAAATATTTTTTTATGCATGCTTCTTTATTGGTATATATTATTCTTATTGCGACCGAGATATAATTCTAATCTGTCTAGCTAGTGCTACAATTACTGTATAACTTACTTCTTCTGACTAAACATTTGCCAAGCTCTATTTGTTGTTCCCGGATAATCGTTTTTCCATCCATGTACATGAATCACAAGTCTTTGCATACATCCGTTGTCTAACGCCTTTAATAAAGTATCACTGACAAACTCATAATCCAGAGTTAAGACAGATAATCTGATAAATGAATTAAAAATAGTGTTATCGAGTTCGAAAAAATCATAATAATCAGGGTCGTCCTTAACAGATGCCAGACTGAGGTGCGTTAAATGTTTGGCATGATGAAGACGAAGAGGTTCCAAAATTACAAACATATTCATTATCAACTCTTCCGTGCATCCTAAACTTAGGGCCTCCAGATAATTAGAAGTCTCGATAATATTTGCCACAGATTCCATTAATGTGGAACGATAACAGTTACTGAAAAATAAACAATATAAATTTATCAAATGTAATGTAAAAAGCTGGTTTGTATATCGGATAAGATTATCCAATTTATGAATACCTGTCATCTTCGTTGTCGAAGGAAAAGTCATAGACATTGCTATTAAATTCCAAAAACAATTTTCTCAACTGTTTATTATGACTTAATTGTTTCAAGAGCTTGTACGTTTCACCCACGTAATCAATGTATCTGGGTTGATCCCAACGAATCGTAGCTTCATGCACACTCAAAGCAAAATAATTTGCCAAAGTTCTATAACAAAACGTACCGTGTATTGTGCGACTTTTAATAAATTTAGATATATATAAATGAACAATAAATATGATTCTACAAACCGAGCCCACAAAACGCTGTCTTCGTCTCTGAAGACAAAAGTGATTTTTTTCCAAAAACTTGGATGGAACAGAGTGTACCTCCAATTTCTGCACACCTGTACAAATAGAATAACAAATCTACTAAACAAATCTTGTATCAATTAAGTATAAATTTTAATTATTTGATATATGTTTTATATATTGTTATAAAAATATTATATATAAAAATGATAAATAATATAGGCATTTTACTATATTCAACATGATTATATTAATATAAATGATATGGACACATAAAAAATTCAATACAAACGATGATTTTATTGCATATTTAGCACAAATCATTTTTATTATATTTAAGATACACAGAATTTATATAAAGAAAAATTACTGTATCATCTTCATGCTTTTTGTCATAATTTTTTTATCGCATATAAATATAATAATAAAGTTTGTCATTATAAATAATCGTTGACATTTCAAGCCAGATATCCACTATTTAATTACTAAATAGCGTAAAAAGAAAACGTAACGAAATTGCGTGTCACACGATACAAAAGACAATATATCAAACTCCTAATCATGCAAGTAGGCAACGCGATGTGTAATGTCAAACGAGATAGTGTAGTGGGTCCCCCTCATTAGTATGTACATTCCATCGTCTATAAGAAATGCTTTCGCATGATTGACGACTTTTATCGGCTATTCAATGTCAGGTCAGTTTACAGTGCAAACGATCGGGACACTGGAAGAGCGAAGAAAAAGAAAACACAAGACTTTCTCTCTCCCTCTCTCTCTCTTTCCCTCTCCGTCACTCTTTGGTCTCTCTATCTACTTACCTGGGAGGCTATTATTCTGGATTCGTGCGACAAATATGAGAATATCTCCTGCAAGATAACGCTGGGCAGATTGTTCCAGGACGGTCCGTGGTCCTCTTGCGCCATTTCTGTCATACGATTCGCAGGCTTGTAGGACGAACAGCTGTTCGCCGCGTTCAGCGAAGACAGCTGCCCCTCGCACTTTCTTGACGTCGCCTCCTCCGTCGTCCCGTCCCCGTCGTTCACCACCGCTGCCGCTGCCGTTGTCGACGTCGTCGTCGTTGTCGTCGCGACGGCGCCGCTGGCCCGGAATCTCTCCAATAGTACATCGAACGTCCCGTCGCAGGCGCGCATCATTTTCAACCGAGCGAACGGCTCGAATCGCGATCCATCCGCTACTACGTCGTTCGACCCGTCGCCGACTGCGACCGCGCCGAGATTTACAGAAGAGACGGGTATATACTGGTATGTCTGGTATATGCGCGCCAGCCCCCCCTTTCCTTCACGAGATGTGTTTATAATCAACTCTCGCGCGATAGCGACCTCCACGAGCACGGATTCGCTCACTTTCGCGCTCCAACTGTCACCTCTCTGTGTATTTGTATATGACATACATATTATGTATGTAACACGGTCGCCTTCTCATCTCGGTTATAAAACTCGGTATTTCACTTTAAACAACCTTCCGCACCTTTCGTCGGAAACCAAAAAATATATCTAAAAGAAATGCATAATTGAAAGATGGAAAGAATATGTCGAGTAATTAATAATAATACCCAGATAGCCAAGTCTGTCGAAAGCAGAGATCATGTCAAGTGTCTGCTATCAACTCTGTTGTCAGAAAAAAGCTACAAATTTGATACAAAAGTTGTTATTATCGATTAAATGGATAAATTGATGCCAAAATCGAGCAGAGCCTACGCTTACAGAATCTGACAGCAGATGGATGGTAGGAACAGAGCAGAATTTGCACGTGCGCAATCTGATGACAGATTGGCAGCAGAAACCGAGCAGAATCTGCAGTTTATTACGAAATATTACAAAATTAAATATTATATATAATAGTAAATTTTTGTATGTGGTGCATTTTATAGAATAAATACATTGGACTGTTTAAATTTACTACCATATATATATATATGGAATTCTATATAATATATGTGTATATGGATTTTTTCTTCTTAGTTTATAAGTTCTACAGCGATTATCTGCAAAAATTGCGATGAATTGTAAGAAATATTAATTTTTAGATAATAATTTTCACTATATTGCAAATGAGAAAAGAAAATAAAATTTCAATTCTTGATGTTTTTATTTGTATTACCTTTCTTGCCAATCATGTTCCCGATATCTTAGAATTTAAATCTGGGTAAGTATCGGCAGAAAACCAAAAATTGGTTCTGCAGGGAGAGTTTTTTAGCGGGTGCGAGTCCCGCATATCCCACCGGACCGGCCGGTGGGAATGCATAATGCATTTGTCTCTTCCTTCGCAAAAAAAAAAAAAAAAAAACAAGTGTATTGTATGTATAAGTTGTACAGCGATCATTTGCGAAAATTGAGAGATAAGTTGTAAGAACAATTAAGTTTTAGATACTAATTTTCATACTATAAATGAGAAAAAAAAATAAAGTTGAAGTTTTTAAAATTTCAAATTTGAAGTTCTTATTTGTATTATCTTTCTTGCCTATCATGTTCCTGAAATCTCAGAATTTTAATTTGTGTATCGGCGGGGCCAAAGGTTGGCCCTGCAGGGAGAGTTTTTTAGCGGGTGCGAGTCCCGCATATCCCACCGGACCGGCCGGTGGGAATGCATAATGCATTTTTCTCTTCCTTCGCCAAAACAAAAAAAAAAAAAAAATCCTAATATTTTTGCGGATTTTGAAGCTTTGAATTTTCACGCTTCTTGAAATTTTAGTCTATATATCACCTCTTTACTGATTATGTTCTCCTGATACTTTTGCGAATTTCGAAGCTTCAAATTTTCCGCTTTCTGTAATTTAACTTCTTGCGATCTCTTTGCTTATCATGTTCTCCTAATACTTGTGCGAATTTCGAAGCTTCAAATTTGCCGCTTTCTGTAATTTAACTTGATGCGATTCTGCGATCTCTTTGCTTATCATGTTCTCCTGATACTTTTGCGAATTTCGAAGCTTCAAATTTTCCGCTTTCTGTAATTTAATTTCTTGCGATCTCTTTGCTTATCATGTTCTCCTGATACTTGTGCAAATTTCGAAGCTTTAAATTTTCCGCTTTCTGTAATTTAATTTCTTGCGATCTCTTTGCTTATCATGTTCTCCTGATACTTGTGCGAATTTCGAAGCTTCAAATTTTCTGTTTTCTGTAATTTAACTTCGATTCTGCGATCTCTTTGCTTATCATGTTCTCCTGATACTTGTGCGAATTTCGAAGCTTCAAATTTTCTGTTTTCTGTAATTTAACTTCGATTCTGCGATCTCTTTGCTTATCATGTTCTCCTGATACTTGTGCGAATTTCGAAGCTTCAAATTTTCTGTTTTCTGTAATTTAACTTCGATTCTGCGATCTCTTTGCTTATCATGTTCTCCTGATACTTGTGCGAATTTCGAAGCTTCAAATTTTCTGTTTTCTGTAATTTAACTTCGATTCTGCGATCTCTTTGCTTATCATGTTCTCCTGATACTTGTGCGAATTTCGAAGCTTCAAATTTTCTGTTTTCTGTAATTTAACTTCGATTCTGCGATCTCTTTGCTTATCATGTTCTCCTGATACTTGTGCGAATTTCGAAGCTTCAAATTTTCTGTTTTCTGTAATTTAACTTCGATTCTGCGATCTCTTTGCTTATCATGTTCTCCTGATACTTGTGCGAATTTCGAAGCTTCAAATTTTCTGTTTTCTGTAATTTAACTTCGATTCTGCGATCTCTTTGCTTATCATGTTCTCCTGATACTTGTGCGAATTTCGAAGCTTCAAATTTTCTGTTTTCTGTAATTTAACTTCGATTCTGCGATCTCTTTGCTTATCATGTTCTCCTGATACTTGTGCGAATTTCGAAGCTTCAAATTTTCTGTTTTCTGTAATTTAACTTCGATTCTGCGATCTCTTTGCTTATCATGTTCTCCTGATACTTGTGCGAATTTCGAAGCTTCAAATTTTCTGTTTTCTGTAATTTAACTTCGATTCTGCGATCTCTTTGCTTATCATGTTCTCCTGATACTTGTGCGAATTTCGAAGCTTCAAATTTTCTGTTTTCTGTAATTTAACTTCGATTCTGCGATCTCTTTGCTTATCATGTTCTCCTGATACTTGTGCGAATTTCGAAGCTTCAAATTTTCTGTTTTCTGTAATTTAACTTCGATTCTGCGATCTCTTTGCTTATCATGTTCTCCTGATACTTTTGCAGATTTCGAAGCTTCAAATTTTTGCGCTTTTTAAAATTTTAGTTTGTGCCACTTCTTTGCTAATTATATTCTTTTGATACTTGATTCCAAGAAATGCATTTTCAGAAAAAAAAATTCCAAGAATAAAAAATTGGCAAAATCGTATCAAAAAAAATGTATAATTAACAAAGAGGCATGGCACGATGATGTGTGGGAATGGATAGATAGGTACATTCAGAAGACATGCATTTTATATTACTAATACATTAGTTTATTAGATTTTTAAAAATTATAAAATATATTTTACAGACTATTATCGATTCTTTTGTATACACTTATAACGTTATACATATTATTATCGTCGGTGTTTCATCAAACAATAAAATAAAATTATATGGAAACAAAAATAGTGTATGTGTGTGTGTGTGTGTTAGAAAGTTTTAGATATAATACATTAACTTAGGATCTCTTTTTAGAAAGTACATTAAAATCTATTGAATATCGCAATATATATAAAATAAAGACATTCTCGTTATGTAATATGAACATTAAATAGGAATAATTTTTAAATAATAAAAATAATATGACTTTATATGCATTCGTGGGTAAAAATGGATTGATCAATTTTGCTGTTAACTACATTTTACACACACACACATACACACGCAGTTATTTTTATTATTATACAATAATGCACATAGGCATTTTATTACATGTATACATATATCGGGTATCGGACGCAATCGCTTTCGTTTTTACATTACATTTTGTATAGACACGCACGCATACATATAGTCATTTTTATTATTATACGATATAATACACACTAGCAATTTTATTACGTATATATATACATATACGTAATAAAACGGGTATCGGACGCAATTGCTTTCGCTGTTACACTACATTTTGTACACACATACGCGCACACACACATTCATTTCTATTATATTAATAATAATACACTGGCATTTTATTTACGTATATATCCAGTGAGAAATACCGATCGAAAAAACGTGTATTATAGATGTCTATTAGACATCTATAAACGTTTATAGACGTCTAATATCCATCTTTCCGATCTATGATTTCTCACTGGGTATATCGCGTATCGGACGCAATTGCTTTTTCGCTGTTGCACTATATTTTGTACGCACATACACATATATAATTATTATCTATAATCACCTAGTAATCATCTATCAATTACGCAAGTGCTAAAAAAACAAGGTCCCCGAGAATACGCAGAAATGTAAGATATATTTCTATCTTTTCGCGATCTATATATGTCCCTGTAATTTTTTGTGCGTAAAATATATGTGCAGGCTGGCGTGACATTATATATTGCAATCTACGTATTGTAATAGCGTGAGCGAGACAATGGGAACCTTGTTATCGTCATCAGTGATATAAGCACGCACGTTACAAGTGTGAACAGATCTTTACGTATAACGAAATGTGCGAGCACGGGGCATCGCGCGAGGATGACACGGAACTGTCATCGAAGGCCGTCTGGCGTCTGACATCTCGCGCGCATGAAAACAGCTGGTGTGGGTCGCGAAAAAGCGTGTGCGTGACCGGCGGTCGTTTAAATGACACTGCACGATGACGCGTTCGAAGATCCAGAAGATGAAGTTTTTCGTATTCCTACTGATCTTTCTGCTGGCGCAGACGGCGATTTGCGACGGGAGCGATGGAAACAAGACGCAGGACAATATAACCTCAAAGTCGTCGCAGGACGTCAACGCGAATAGAACGCACATCGTGGACAAAGAGGTTCGTATCATCGAAAATAAGGATTGTCCAGTCAGAAGTTTCCTGGTGCAGACATTCTTTTAGTCTTATGGATAATCTTGACAATTTATTTCTGATTATAATTGATATTACCTTGCTATCTTGACGCAGCAGACCAGTGAGGAACATGCGACCTTCAATGCTGGTGCTCTTGTACGCGGTTTCTTAGTCTTTGTGGGACTAAGCATCCTTGTCATGGCCTACATCGTGTTCCGTAGCTTTAGGTAAATTTACAGAGGATTTAGCAGAGAGAGAGAAAGGATGATGATACATTGATAGATCTCTAGCTTGAAAACTTAACTGGTTGTTTTTATTGGCAGGTTAAGTAAGACGCGAGCCCAGCTGGTTCGAAAGTACGGTGTCCTCACACACAGGCAGGATGTCGAGATGCGACCGTTGCCATTGGAGGAAGAAGATGACGAAGACACAACTGTTTTCGATGCGAGCAACGTCGTGACCAACATTCAGCATCAAAACGCGTAAAAGTTTTCGCGCAGGGAAATACACCGTTGTGCTATTATATATATCATCCGTGTAATGCTGCTCTTACCATCATACCACGATCTTAATAATATCAGACTAATTCTATCGTGATCTGTTGAGGTAAGTACACGAGAGAAGGACTATCAGAGTTCGGGGACAGATTTAAGACATTTTTCAGCATTTTGAATAAAGTAATTTGCTTTGTGCAGCGAGATTATTATCAAATATGCATCTATGATGCACTTATCATTGACATATTATGCTTGTCAGCAATAGATGTACTTTTCCTAATAAGAAAGAAAAAATCCAAGATGTTTCTACCAATATTCTCCATCCTATTATAATATTGCTATGTGATAATGTAAAATTTTAGACATGTATCATCTGCGAGCTAACGAAAAAGTTAATGGGTGGCTATATCTCTACTCTTATACACAGATTATATTTTAATTAATCTACGTTGTTATATAATTAAAATTATACAAATACAGATTGTCTCTATTTTCTTTAATACTACACATTAATAAAAATTGTGTACAAAACTTTATTCCAAATAAGTGTAAATATTATTTCGAGCTACATCTCTATTGGACAAATATAAAGGTAATGTTAAAAAAGTTGAAATAGTTTGTTAATAAAATATATGTATATATTTCGAATAACTTAGAATAATTACTATATTACAAAATTATTAGTATTATCAAAATAGAATTAATACTTTTCCAATAATGTGTTATTGTTTCATTAAAATAATGCATATATATTCATGCTGTTTATATAATTCTCTCTATAACAATGCATAAAAATTTATCATATATAAATCTATCATATATATCCATTCTCAACAGCATGAACTATTGTATCTGCCAATCTTTGTCTTCCACTTGATGTTTTAATATTAGACAATTTCCATACATCAGAAATATCCACTGCTTCATCATTCTTAATAATGGCATCTAAATCGAATGCTTGAGATGGATCCAACAGACAAAATGGAATTGCTTCAAGTGCAAATACTAGTCCAACAATAAAGTAATCCTTCAACTGCAATTTATATCGATTAGTGCATCACTTTTTTTCATTATTTAAAATTTAAACACAAAATAGACATTTTACCTCTTTCATAAATAAATCCCATGGATAAATTTTTTCTGGATCAGATCCGAGAGATTTAATAGCATTGCTCAATTCGGAATGATAAGTTTTTAATATATCATCGAAATACTGATCGCGAAATGACTTTAGGGTGCACGAATAAACTAAGAATGATAAATCCATGATAGGATTACCGCAACGCGCAAGTTGAAAGTCTAACATTAATGCTTCCTTTCGATTTTGCCCAATATCTCGAACGAGAAAGTTTGGAGCCCAACAATCACCCGCGGAGATAACAGACGTAGGAGCGTCTCTTCTCTCACTGCATTCTGTGCACTTTTGGAATAATTTACCAAATTCATAGGAATTGAATTGCTTCTCAGCTTTACTGTTTGGATATTCAATAGCTAACGCATCTTTAGCTATATCCACTAGCTGTTTCTATATAGAAAAACTGCTTTAATAATAATTAAATCAGACATTAAAATATACATTGTAATGTGTTACTTACATGAAATTTTTGGTACCAGTTCCAGTTATGATTACCAAAGTAGGTTTCATTTAAAACACTTGCAAGTTTTGTAAATTCTTCTTTCTTCTGGTCTTTATATGCAAACGAAATTGCATGAAATTTCGCTAATGTTTTTAAGATCACTATACATTCTATCCAATCTATGCAGTTTTGTCTGGATGCAGGTCCAAATCCTAGGGGAGAGACATCCTCTAAGACAACAAAATCATTTTTGCCATCGGTGTAAGAAACCAAGTGACGTGGTATGCACAATAGATTACTTTGCCCTTTGTCTGCTAGAAATTTTTCAAATTTGGGAACAATCTGTAAAATATAGTAATTGTTTGAGATTAAAATGTTTATTCCTTGATTATATGTAGTTAACACTATTTTTTTCAACAATATATGCATTTCCTATTATATAAAAGAAAAGTGTGAGTTATATATATTTCTTACCTGTGTATAAAATAAGATTTCATTATGGAAGAACTCTGCACTTCTAAAAGTCTTTCTTCTACCAATGTTCTTTGGAATTGACTTCACAACAAAATTAACTTGTACATTTTGCTGTGGGTCACCATCTATAATACCATATAGTTTACCCTTATTGACAGTAGATAAATAACTATCACCTTTAGCAAATCCTTCACCAAAGGTCCAATCTGTCAGTTGCACTTTTTTCCCATTATATGCCTTACAGAGAATGTCTGTAAGCACCTCTTCCGTAAACTTGTCACTCACTTCATTCAAATTAATGCGATTCTTATTTTGACTCATGATTTTTTTCTAGGCCTTTTCAAGACTTTATTTGATATGAAATTCTTTTATGTAATAATACTTTGAAGAAATACTGATATTTTTTAAGGTTTAATATAATATTGAAGTTAATACAAAGATCTTCAACAATGCATTTATAATAAATGTAATCATATTACAATCCACAATTGCGATAAATATTTTTTAACTTAATGACACTATTACTTTGAGAGTTGAAATAATAAGAAAAGATGGAATTGCTTTGGTTTATATAACTGATGTTATCTTGTTGAATGTGACTTAATTCTTGTCTTTTCTTGTGATAAGATGAGAATTTACAATAAGCTCCTTATCATTCGTCGAAATTAATTTTTTTGCAAAGCTTGATGCTTGATATAGTACGTTTCACATGCGAAACATTAGCACTTGACATATATCCGCAAGTATCTATTTTATCTGTCGATGGAATACGTTTTTCTCGCCAAGGAAAAAAGACACTTATGTTATCAATCGTTCTTCACATTAATGCATATTTATGATTATTGCAAAAAGAAAAACGTTATTTTCACACGTGAGCGATCCTTACTCATACACTTGTCATGCAACACTATTGGATGGAAATTTCCACTATTAATAAAGAGTGGTCAGAACTGCCAAGTCAGGAGTCTTATCGAGAATTATTATCCATATTCACACATAGAGGGGGGAGAATAAATTGGGACAAGTAGTCGGAAGGCTACAAAGTATCTATTCCTCCTATTAAAGCATTGTCAATTCGCACTATAAAATGCGCGCGCATAAGTTTTTATCGACATCATTTGATGGGAGATCCATATCACATTGATTTGTTAGATTTCTATAAAAAGCCTTTCGCATGATTAGATTTTGGTAATTATTTTATTTGCGAGATAATGGATTGCATTTTATACAAGATTTTATTCCAAATAAGTGTAAATATTATTTCGAGCTACATCTCTATTGGAAAAATATAAAGGTAAAGTTAAAAAAGTTGATTAAATAGTTCGTTAATAAAATATATGTGTATATTTTGAATAACTTAGAATAATTACTATATTACAAAATTATGAGTATTATCAAAATAGAATTAATACTTTTCCAATAATGTGTTATTGTTTCATTAAAATAATGTATATATATTCATGCTGTTTATATAATTCTCTCTATAAAAATGCGTAAAAATTATTTATATATAAATCTATCATATATATCCATTCTCAACAGCATGAACTATTACATCTGCCAATCTTTGTCTTCCAGTTGATGTTTTAATATTAGACAATGTCAATACATCAGAAATATCCACTGCTTCATCATTCTTAATAATGTCATCTAAATCGAATGCTTGAGATGGATCCAACAGACTAAGTGGAATTGCTTCAAGTGCAAATACTAGTCCAACAATAAAGTAATCCTTCAACTGCAATTTATATTGATTAATGCATCACTTTTTTCCATTATTTAAAATTTTAAACAAAATAAACATTTTACCTCTTTCATAAATAAATCCCTCGGATAAATTTTTTCTGGATCAGATCCGAGGGATTTAATAGCATTGCTCAATTCGGAATGATAAGTTTTTAATATATCATCGAAATACTGATCGCGAAATGACTTTAGGGTGCACGAATAAATTAAGAACGATAAATCCATGATAGGATTACTGCAACGTGCAAGTTGAAAGTCTAGCATTAATGCTTCCTTTCGATTTTGCCCAATATCTCGAACGAGAAAGTTTGGAGCCCAACAATCACCCGCGGAGATAACAGACGTAGGAGCGTCTCTTCTCTCACTGCATTCTGTGCACTTTTGGAATAATTTACCAAATTCATAGGAATTGAATTGCTTCTCAGCTTTACTGTTTGGATATTCAATAGCTAACGCATCTTTAGCTATATCCACTAGCTGTTTCTATATAGAAAAACTGCTTTAATAATAATTAAATCAGACATTAAAATATACATTGTAATGTGTTACTTACATGAAATTTTTGGTACCAGTTCCAGTTATGATTACCAAGGTAGGTTTCATTTAAAACACTTGCAAGTTTTATAAATTCTTCTTTCTTCTGGTCTTTATATGCAAACGAGATTGCATGAAATTTCGCTAATGTTTTTAAGATCACTATACATTCTGCCCAATCTATGCAGTTTTGTCTGGATGCAGGTCCAAATCCTAGGGGAGAGACATCCTCTAAGACAACAAAATCATTTTCGCCATCGGTGTAAGAAACCAAGTGACGTGGTATACACAATAGATTACTTTGTCCTTTGTCTGCTAAAAATTTTTCAAATTTGGGGACAATCTGTAAAATATAGTAACTGTTTGAGATTAAAATATTTATTCATTGATTATATATAGTTAACACTATTTTTTTTTCAACGATACATGCATTTTCTATTTAATAAAAGAAAAGTGTGAGTTATATATTTTTTCTTACCTGTGTATAAAATAAGATTTCATTACGGAAGAAGTCTGCACTTCTAAAAGTCTTTCTTCTACTAATGTTCTTTGGAATTGACTTCACGACAAAATTAACTTGTACATTTTGCTGTTGGTCACTATCTATAATACCATATAGTTTACTCTTATTGACAGTAGATACATAATTATCACCTTTAGCAAATCCTTCACCAAAGGTCCAATCTGTCAGTTGCACTTTTTTCCCATTATATGCCTTACAGAGAATGTCAGTAAGCACCTCTTCCGTAAACTTGTCACTCACTTCATTCAAATTGATGCGATTCTTATTTTGACTCATCATTTTTTTCTAGGCCTTTTCAAAAAACTTTATTTGATATGACATTCTTTTCTATAGTAATACTTTGAAGAAATATTGATATTTTTTAAGGTTTAATATAATATTGAAGTTAATACAAAGATCTTCAACAATGCATTTATAATAAATGTAATCATATTACAATCCACAATTGCGATAAATATTTTTTAACTTAATGATACCATTACTTTGAGAGTTGAAATAATAAGAAAAGATGGAATTGCTTTGGTTTATATAACTGATGTTATCTTGTTGAATGTGACTTAATTCTTGTCTTTTCTTGTGATAAGATGAGAATTTACAATAAGCTCCTTATCATTCGTGGAAATTAATTTTTTTTGCAAATTGATATAATACGTTTCACATGCGAAACATTAGCACTTGACGTATATCCGCAAGTATCTATTTTATCTGTCGATGGAATACGTTTTTCTGGCCAAGGAAAAAAGACACTTATGTTTTATCAATCGTTCTTCACATTTATTCATATCTGTGATTATTGCAAAAAGAAAAACGTTATTTTCACACGTGAGCGATCCTTACTCATACACTTGCCACGCAACACTATTGGATGGAAATTTCTACTATTAATAAAGAGTGGTCAGAACTGCCACATCAGGAGTCTTATCGAGAATCATTATCCATATTCACACATGGAGAGGGGAGAATAAATTGAGACAAGTAGTCGGAAGGCTACAAAGTATATATTCCTCCTATTAATGCATTGTCAACTCGCATTATAAAATGCGCGCGCATAAGTTTTTATCGACATCATTTGACGAGAGATCCATATCACATTGATTTGTTAGATTTATATAAAAAGCCTTTCGCATGATTAGATTTTGGTAATTATTTTATTTGCGAGATAATGGATTGCATTTTAAAAAAGGGAACACTTGAAAAAAATACATATATGTATTAAAAAATATGATAAAAAGATATTTTTGAATAGGACAAGTACTCTTTGATCGAAAGATTATGTAAGAAATATATAAAACAGATATGATAATAATTCTTGAATGAGGAAAGTACTCCGTGCCCCTCCCCGCCCAAAAAATATATATATAAAATCTGGCTAGAAAGAAAAGGAATAATAAAATGTAGTTGATTTGCATAATAATTAACGTAGAAATAACGATTGTAAAAATGACAAACGTTTCGATTCGTTTTAACTTTTCTTCGCCATTGAATTAAATTCTTTTTATAGTCGTTATCGAAACGATCATTAAGTTACATAAATATTTGTTCGCATTAATAACTGGTTCTTGTTTTATTGATTCTTCTCCTACAGAGATCTTTTACACGATCTTTGTGAATTATATACTGATAAATGTGTATAAGTCTGTGTGAAGAACGATATTAAATCATAAATAAATCGTACAAAATACATTACTGATTTTATCGGAATTAAGCTTTGAAGGTCGCAAATAGATGGTAAAATTTTATTTCTCATTTCATTTTCAAGTAAATGCTTTACAGATTTATAATTTGAATGATTTATTATACATATATAAGAAAAAATATATATAAAAAATTTGAAAACATGACTAATGATGATTCTTCTCATTAAAAAAAAAAAATTTTAAAGTGGACAAGGAGTCCATCGATAATAGCTTATTCCAAAATACTCTGCAAATATTCTGTGTTTAATATCATTGTATATGTATTTTATGATATAATTTTCTCCATAACATAAATATAGCAAAAATATGAGAAAATTATGGCAATGAAAATATATTGTCAATGAAATAAAATTCATGTTCTCAAAAAATTCTTTGGAAACCTTTGTACATAAAAGTTTGACAATTTTTTTTTAATTACTTTCAATAAAAGCAAGTATAAAAAATCAAATTGGATAACACTTTTATTATTTTGACATTTAATACTATTTATCAAGAAATAATTTTATACAAGTTTATATCAGATATATTCTTTTTCAAAAGCATGAACTATCACATCTGCTAATCTTTGTCTTCCACTTGTTGTTGCAATATTAGGTAATGATACTATTTCACCAATATCTACTGCTTCGTTGTCTTGAATAGCGGTATCTATGGTGAATGATTCAGGTACATTCATTAAGCCTACTTGAATAGCTTCAAGTGCATTAAATACACCAAAAACAAATTGCTCCTTTACCTGAAATTAATATAAACATTAACATAAACATCTTTATTTATCTTAAAGAAACAATTGTTACAAAATGGATATTTTACCTCCTGCATGAATAAGTCCCATGGATAAATTTTTTCTGGATCAGATCTAAGAGATTTAATAGCATTGCTCAATTCGGAATGATAAGTTTTTAACATATCATCAAAATATTGATCACGAAATGACTTTAAAGTGCAAGAATAAATTAGGAATGATAAGTCCAAGATGGGACTAGCGCAACGTGCAAGCTGAAAGTCAAGCATTAATGCTTCCTTTTGACTTTGTCCAATATTGCGGATTAAAAAATTTGGAGCCCAACAATCACCCTCTATTACAACAGATGTGGGTGCGAGTTTTCTCTCACATAATTCTCTGCACTTAGTGAAAAGGGCATCGAATTTATAAGAATTGTACTTTTTTTCAGCTTCGCTATTGGGATATTCGGTGGCTATTGCATGTTTAATTACATCTTGTGACTTTTTCTGTAAAAAAAAAAAAAAAATGTTTTGTATCCTTAATAGAAAACTTTAACAAGACTTAAAGAAAATTTAATACTTTCCATTATTTAAATGATAATTTTTGTACCAGTCCCAATGGTTACTGCCAAAGAAAGTTTCTTTTAAAGAATCTGCAATTTTTATAAATTCTTCTTTCTTTTGATCCTTGTACGCGAATGAAATTGCATGAAATTTAGCCAGTGTCTTCAAGATTGCTGTACATTCTGTCCAGTCTAAGCAGTTATGTCTCGATGCGGTAGAAAATCCTAAGCAAGAGGCATCTTCCAGGGCCAGAAAATCATTTTCATTATCTGTGAAAGAGACTATATGACGTGGTATACATAACAGATCGCTCTGTCCCTTTTCTGCTAAAAAGTTTTCAAATTTAGAGACAACCTGCAAAACAGATGAATAAAGAATGTTTGTGATTTTTTTACACAAATAAGTAATATAAATTCTTTCAAATAAATAATGTATGTGTTTGTGTGTATAGATTCAAGAAAGAAAAGAGAGAAGGAAGTGTGTTTATGTAATAGTCTTGCCTCTGTATAGAAAGCAATTTCATTATGGAAAAACTCTGCGCATCTGAGAGTCTTTCTTGTGCCAGGATTTTTTGGCATTGACTTTACGATGATATTCACTTGCACATGTTGTCTTGAATTATCATTGATAATACCATTCATTTTGCCCTTATAGATATTTGACAAATAATTGTCACCTTTAGCAGATCCCTCATTAAAATTCCAATCTGTCAGTTGCACTTCTTTCTTACATGCTTTAGAAAGGATATTTGTTAATACTTCTTCTGTAAACTTGTTATTTATCTCATTCAAGTTAGTACACTTTTTGTTCTGACTCATCATTTCTTTTTGTTTGCGATATTACGTGGACGTGCGAGCGAGGATGCCGCGAAAGACTTTGAGCGCGAGATGCGACTGCCGATAGATCGGCAAAGCGCGCGAACAGTTAGACGCCGGTGATTCTAGGTCGAACACCCTATGTACGCTGTAATTAAAGGAATATTCATGCTAATGCATACGAATGCAATCGTGATTTACACGCGGCGGATAAACAGCGAAATATCGTCTGTCTCGGAATAACTCCGGTAGTCACACTTAACGGAAGTGAAATAATCTATTTCACGCACGATGTCGAATTTCTCTAATTACTTTGATAGCGTACACGCGTCGATAACTCTAAGCGGAATGCCGCTGAGCTCACTCGTCGGCTCATTTTTATAACGTCGCCTCCAGAAGATTCTCGAAATTGTCGTATTTCCGCCGACAGTTTTTAAGCGACTTGTTTGTTACAATTTGATTTTTTTTTTTTTTCGCTTCATTCTCCGCGAAGGGTGACGGCGTTTATTTGTCTCGGGCCTTTCCGCTCGATCGCGAAAAGGCCGCCCCCGATTGGGCGCCGGTGCCGGCGGCTCGCAATGACGCGATAGGCGCGTGTCGACTACAAGAATTCCGCTGATTTAATTCATCAAAATAGTCTAATTTATTGATTAGTACTTTTTAGTAATCTTTATTAATAATTCGTTATCACTTTGGTTTAAAAAAATTGATTAAATTTTTATCATTAAAAAATGTAAAGTTTTTTTTTAATAAAATAGCAACCAGAATCAAATTCTAATTCTGATTTCTGAAATTAAAAAATAAAAATAATTACGTACTACGACACTATTTTTCCAGAGAGAGTTGTATATACATATATCATATAATATATAAAATGTGAGATATCAAAATAAAAAATGAAAATGGTGACTTTTTCTGTAAAAAAAAAAAAAAAATGTTTTGTATCCTTAATAGAAAACTTTAACAAGACTTAAAGAAAATTTAATACTTTGCATTATTTACATGATAATTTTTGTACCAGTCCCAATGGTTACTGCCAAAGAAAGTTTCTTTTAAAGAATCTGCAATTTTTATAAATTCTTCTTTCTTTTGATCCTTGTACGCGAATGAAATTGCATGAAATTTAGCCAGTGTCTTCAAGATTGCTGTACATTCTGTCCAGTCTAAGCAGTTATGTCTCGATGCGGTAGAAAATCCTAAGCAAGAGGCATCTTCCAGGGCCAGAAAATCATTTTCATTATCTGTGAAAGAGACTATATGACGTGGTATACATAACAGATCGCTCTGTCCCTTTTCTGCTAAAAAGTTTTCAAATTTAGAGACAACCTGCAAAACAGATGAATAAAGAATGTTTGTGATTTTTTTACACAAATAAGTAATATAAATTCTTTCAAATAAATAATGTATGTGTTTGTGTGTATAGATTCAAGAAAGAAAAAAGAGAAGGAAGTGTGTTTATGTAATAGTCTTGCCTCTGTATAGAAAGCAATTTCATTATGGAAAAACTCTGCGCATCTGAGAGTCTTTCTTGTGCCAGGATTTTTTGGCATTGACTTTACGATGATATTCACTTGCACATGTTGTCTTGAATTATCATTGATAATACCATTCATTTTGCCCTTATAGATATTTGACAAATAATTGTCACCTTTAGCAGATCCCTCATTAAAATTCCAATCTGTCAGTTGCACTTCTTTCTTACATGCTTTAGAAAGGATATTTGTTAATACTTCTTCTGTAAACTTGTTATTTATCTCATTCAAGTTAGTACACTTTTTGTTCTGACTCATCATTTCTTTTTGTTTGCGATATTACGTGGACGTGCGAGCGAGGATGCCGCGAAAGACTTTGAGCGCGAGATGCGACTGCCGATAGATCGGCAAAGCGCGCGAACAGTTAGACGCCGGTGATTCTAGGTCGAACACCCTATGTACGCTGTAATTAAAGGAATATTCATGCTAATGCATACGAATGCAATCGTGATTTACACGCGGCGGATAAACAGCGAAATATCGTCTGTCTCGGAATAACTCCGGTAGTCACACTTAACGGAAGTGAAATAATCTATTTCACGCACGATGTCGAATTTCTCTAATTACTTTGATAGCGTACACGCGTCGATAACTCTAAGCGGAATGCCGCTGAGCTCACTCGTCGGCTCATTTTTATAACGTCGCCTCCAGAAGATTCTCGAAATTGTCGTATTTCCGCCGACAGTTTTTAAGCGACTTGTTTGTTACAATTTGATTTTTTTTTTTTCGCTTCATTCTCCGCGAAGGGTGACGGCGTTTATTTGTCTCGGGCCTTTCCGCTCGATCGCGAAAAGGCCGCTCCCGATTGGGCGTCAGTGCCGGCGGCTCGCAATGACGCGATAGGCGCGTGTCGACTACAAGAATTCCGCTGATTTAATTCATCAAAATAGTCTAATTTATTGATTAGTACTTTTTAGTAATCTTTATTAATAATTCGTTATCACTTTGGTTTAAAAAAATTGATTAAATTTTTATCATTAAAAAATGTAAAGTTTTTTTTTAATAAAATAGCAACCAGAATCAAATTCTAATTCTGATTTCTGAAATTAAAAAATAAAAATAATTACGTACTACGACACTATTTTTCCAGAGAGAGTTGTATATACATATATCATATAATATATAAAATGTAGAGATATCAAAATAAAAAATGAAAATGGGAAAAATACAAAATAAAAGGAATGAAATATAAAATAAAACAAAATTCTAATATGCATATATAACTGTGACACGAGATTATATTTATATATATTACATTATAAAATTTGTTTAGGAAACCTAAATTCGGAACCTTTTGCATAGTATGTGTGGATATTCTAAACATAGATATTATTCTTGTAAAATTTATCTGAATGATATTATCCAGATAAATTAATAATATCGCGAACAACAATTTGTAAAGACGTATTTCAACTAAAAGTCCATTTGTTATAAAAGTGTAAAAACGATATCTTTTTTTATACATATGTACGTTCGATGCGCGTGAACGGCTGAAATTTCATTCAAAAGATAAACGTAGAAATTTTTTTTCGCAAAAAAGCTTTTATTTACATTTGTTCCGTTTCGTTTTAGCGTCTAGAGAAATTTATAAGTGCAATAAAATCCCACACAAATCGATCGCGCACTCATATTGATCACTTGTTGTGGAATGTTTCACATAATAAATACAGCTTTTGAGATAAATTAAAATACAAGTCTTGTGTGCATTTACAACCGAGAATTGTATAGATTCCAACACGTCAAATGGAATCTAACCGTAGATTCCATCATAACAGTAGATTCGTTCACGACGAGCCCGTATACCTTATTTACAATGTCCATATATAAACATATACACTGCGACCGCTTAAACCTATCGATATACGGAGTAAAAGGTAAAAAGTACTATTTTGTACCTTAGAATCTGAGAAATAAAGTAAAATGCTGGCCTGTGTGTGTATGTGTGACGTTAAATCGCACTTATGTCATCTATTCTATATCGGTAATAGTATTCTTTTTTATGTCTTTCTTATTCCCTTTCGATTTATTAAATGTAAATCTGTTGACGTTAGTTGCGACTCGTCTAACTCTCTCTCTCTCTTTCTCTCTGTCTTTCTTTCTCTCACTCTTTCTCTCTCTCTTAATGACTAAACTTAACATGTAATCCGCAATTCTTAACCTAGTGTCTTAGCCGCTAACTAAATCGTACAATTGGACTGAGTGATAAATTATCGTCGACTGTACAAACACCGCTTTCAGCTTGACACAATCACATCCTAATCTCGGAATACCTGAATGAGAATCGCAATTATTTTCTCCAGTTGTGTTTGGACCTCGCGTGCAATTTTTTTTTTTTTTTAAAAAATATACCTCCTGTTGGTCGCAAAGCTGATTTTATATCGAATTTACTTGAAAAGTTTCACTCAAGAAAGCATAAGTACCGATTAAACAGGTGATTATTCGAAGCGCTTCATCGCACATACGACTATATAAAATGAATGCCTGCACGGTGTAAAAATTGTCATGACAATGCGACGTTCAAAGTCTTTTCTAGTCACGCGAATAATTAGTAATATATTTGCTAAAACACATTTTTCGTTAACATTATGGTAATGTTAAAAAATTTAAAATCACTTGTGTTTTCTCCAATACACAGCCCATCTTCGGTACTAACAGTGAACGTAAAACCGAGAGAGAAGCGCGTTTCCCTATATACTTCAGTGAGACACATTATTTCTTTATTTTTTTTTTCTTCAATCACATGAATCTTAATAAGTACCAAGTGCCTAATATAAGATCAAGTTTCGATATACCCTGAACTACCCACATACAGGTAGAGGAACCCCAAACGAGTTCGCCGTATACTTTTACTCGCTCTTATCGAGGATCAAAATAAATATGTATAGAAGTATCGTACGGCAGAGGCTTGGCTCGGACGTCGATGCGAAGCGGGAGAGCGGGAATGGCAATAGGTTGTCTATACACAGGACATATCTTACATAGAGTATAAGATAAAATTAGTTTTCGAGTTTAGACCGAAGTTTGCGAGGGCGACGATTCCCGCGATTCATGTCAATATATCCTATATATTTCATTATCGACGATCTCGTTCGTCTGCAACAACAACAAGATTACAATTATATCAGAGTCATAAAGAGAAAAATAAATTTAATAAAAAAATAAATTATAATTAAAAAAAATCATAATGCAAAAATACGATGTACAACAAATCATTAAAAAGTAATGTCATATTGTGATTTTATTTTTTGTTATACCTACCGAGTTAACAAAAATCACGTTTTAGTCATCGCATTGGCACAGCCTTTACGTGTTGTTGTAAAGTTGATGGTGAGTTTGCTGATGCTGACTCGGATGCGAGTGTTGCAGCGAGTGCTGATGTTGATGGGGATGCTGATGCTGTACTGTCGAATGCCTCGCATTGTATCTGACGCTACCGGCAAGCGAGCTTCCCCTACCGTGAGTACCGACTATGCTCTGCGTATCGGACAGCTCGTCCTCCTCTGCGCCAAGACTCCGGAATCTAACGAAGCCGTCCTCGGCGACTAGCATCGTCGAGCCGCTGGTCGGAGCTTGTTCATGTAGGCCTTGTATAGGCGTATGCCTGCCGCGAGTTTCAGAATTCCTTAGGGTTTGTATGCCGTTACCATGACGACTTAAGGAACCTCGACCTTCGTGAGGAAAGTGTCCCATTGTGCCTGACTTGCGGATGGAATGTCTCTCAAAGGTACCTATATGCAACATACAAGAAAACATTAGTTTTTGTAAACACAAACCCGGTACTAACTTAAACAATTGGCAAAACAATAGAGATAGTGGAAATATTAGTTTTCTTAGACCGCGCGGACAAAATAAAAAATAAACTATTTCATGCGTGTAAAGAGATTCTCAGTGAGAAATATATTTAAGAGAGAGAGAAAGAGAGAGATATATAAAATTTTTCATGTTACCTGATATGTTCAAATGCTCGGGCAGAGTGTTTAGCGGAAAACTGTCATCGTAAACTTGTTTTCCCGTTCTCATGGTGTAATTCTGAATCGCTTGGTTGGTACTACATATGGCGGGATAGAGCACATCGTCCATGTTCTCCGTGGAAGTGGAACTGCCGCAAGGAAACAGCGCGAAGCCCGAATGCACCGAGTGTTGCTGTATTTGTTTTTCGCGCAGAGGATACTGGGATAGACTAGCGACCCAGGCCAGGAGACCGCAGACGCATAGCTCCAGCACTCTGACTGAGAACTGCCAACCCCACCAGAGCCACGGACGCGGATGCGGCTGCGGATGCACGTTTCTTGGATGTTCCTGGATGCCGAATATACCATAGAGCTGCACGAAACCCATGAGAAAGAACAGCAGAGCAGTGGCGATGGTGGTGGTAATGGCAGTGTTGAGCGCCACTGTGGTAGGATCGGCACCCATCATATGATTCGCGCCGGCTGCCTTGTTACTGGCCACGTGGATTTGTGAGCGCACCACGCGGTATACGTACATGTAGCATAGACCCAGCGTAACGCAGACAATGATATAGATACATTGACAGATGAGCGGCAGAATTTGCGCCCCGTTCTGATAGCCGAGCACGTGCGAGGACACATGAAGGGACACGCACAGCACAATGTGCACTATGGACGAGAGTATGAGCGTGGTGGGCGAAAGGATACTGTTGTTGAGCGATGGCGCCTCCGAACACCGAGCGAGATATAGTACCAGAGTAGCGAAGGCCGTGGATAAGAGCGGCGCCGGCAGATACATTAGCACACTGGACAACGGCTCCGGCAGCGATTGTCCGAGATTATAAGCGTCGTAGAAGAGGTGGAAGCACCTCAGAGTGCAGATGGTAGTCAGCAGCAGATGAACAGCTAGGAAATATGACTGCGTGAGTAAATTCGTCGCTTCGTTGAAACGCACGATCTTGTAGATCGAGTATAGAGCCATGAGCGTGAACATAATCGCCGCAAGGTACACGTGCAGCGACCAGGCGATGCGCCAAGTGGACTCGAGCGAATGTGTGTCGACGTGCGGCACCAGACGCTTATCGTCATCGTCGTCGGCATTATTAGTTGGTCGCTTCGGCGTCGATGCCGGCGGCTGCTGCTGCGGATACGGCAGCCTCTCCGTGTCCACTATCTCGATACTATCCTCGTGTTCGTTTCTTAGCCCGTGATGATAGCTGTCGTCGTCTTGCCGGCCGGTGTTTGGTAGGTTGAAGATGGTCGGTTGGGTAACGGCAATTCTCGAAGGATCTGCGGTGCTGCCGGATGTGATGGTGCTTGGTGCTAACGTAGTCTTCTCGGTCGTCGGAGCAGGCGGTATGTTCGGTAGCAGCGGGCTCTTCGTGGCTAACGGCTTCAACAATATATCGGGAATATCCTGCTTCCTGCCATTGCTGCCGGACAAGATCCTCGAGATGCTGGGGTAATGAAGGGTCACGAATGAAGGGTCATTGGTACTGTTCCGTCGATCGGTTTCGCCGGACTCCGCAGGCCTTTGCTCCCCTCTGGTGTCGGGCACATTCGCCGGCTTGTTCCTTGAGTGGGAATGATGCCTCTCCGGCACTTGGGAGGAGGGATTCTGAGGTAGATCCGGCGGTCGGATGGGTATCCGCTCGTGTGCCGGCGTCAGGCTTGGCGGTGGCACCGGCCTCCTGTTGCCGGTGTACACATCCGAGTTGGTGCCGCGTAGCGTGGGCTTGTCGGCGAACGGATGCAGGTACTCTGGCGGTAAGGGCGGCGTAAAGAGTGCTCTGGAGGGTGGCGCGTACGACGGAAGATCTCGGAGGATGGGCGAGGCTGTGGCCCGTGGCACTGCCGGATACTTGACGGCAGGTATCGACGGGCTAGCGGTAGTAGTGCTGGTGATCGTACTGGTGGTCAACGGCGACGGCACCGTCGACAGCGTCGTACTGGCCGATACCTGAGCGTCATACGCCGGCACGCTGCGTTTCGTGGTCGCAGAGCTGTGCGCTACCTTGTTAAAGATCGCCGCCAGGTTCTTCTCCAGAGCGGTGTGGTCTAGATTAAAGATCGGGCTGTTGGGTCCGCCGTCGCCGCTCGCCGAGCAGACAGTCGAGCAGGACTGTACGGCCATCAGGACGAATAGGAGGAACAGTCGCATCATCGGGGTCATAACGCTCGACCGAACCGTGTCGGGGGGGATGATTCTGAACACTTAGACACCCTGTCTGGGCATCTCATTCCATAATAAAGGGTCAACCTCGTCGCTTCACCACAAGGACAATGAGAATCGTAAGGACACTTGTTCAAATGTGTCTTTGCTGATGTCCTTCTCTTTCTCTCTCGTTCTATAGTTCTATTCAAGGATACTAATTTCCTCTCGCGGAGAATCCTGTCACGTCACATTCCTGAAATCACACCGGCTGTCTCTCGAGCTTCTCTCACCGTGTCGTTCCCTTTGACCGCGACATCCGGCGCGTTTCCCTCCGATGTCGATGTGTCGCGTTGTATTTTGATATCTTATAGCCTGGCAGTGCTTTTTCGTGATTGATCTCTCTTCTCTCTCTCTCTCTCTCTCTGTGAATATCGTTGCTATTCGCGATATACACGAAAGGTTTTGCAAATGGGGAGGGATAGGGTCAAGAGTGTCTCCTCTGTAACTACTCGTATCTACATCTTTGAGGCCTCACGTCAGGCCAAATAGAGATAACTCCCTTGATAACTCTGCGACGTGTCGGACGATTAGGCGACGTGTAAGATAGGATTCAATTTCTTCTTTGCAGCATCCACCGGCCCTCGGTCAACTACCGTCCCGTTCCACGTGCTTTCATTATATACACGGTGTCGGGATACGCGATCTGATAGCCACCCCACCGGATTATTTTGTCGTGCTAACTTCGTTGTTCCCGCGCGGTTGACTCGATTTAAAATCTATCTACTTCCAGCAACCAATATGGGCGACGACATGGGCTTGTTAACTGAGTTTGATCCGATAACACTGTTGATGTTGCCGCTGCTTCTGCTCCCAGAAGCCATCCCAGATCCGCGAGAGCCTCGGCCGAAACGTGGATCCTCGGGGGAGCATTTAACGCGCCGAATTGGCCCGTATCCTTAGTCGCCGACGTGGCCTCGTAATTACTGTATCCATTTCTTTAATTAATACGCGAGTGTGCTCGCTGCAGTCATGCGTTGCTCCTCGGGTCTCCTCGCGATGCTACGCCAAGCACCTGCAAAAAAAATGTCTATCGTCAGTTCACAAGAAAGTGAAAAGTAGAGAAACTAGTTATAATTCTTAATCTAGAGATACAACAGGGGGAAATAGAAAGAGAAAGAGATTATAAGAATAGATTACATAACAAGAAACAATCACTCGAATTGAAAAACTTAAGAATTAAATATTAAAGAATTGAAAAGTTTATAATTGCCAAAAAAAAAAAAAAATGCATTATCCAAATAATTCTGATATATTTTTCAACTAAAAAAAAATGCGAGAAAAAAGAAAAGGCAGGTTCAAGTGTTTCGTTTCCAGCGAGTTACACTGAACAACTGCTGTTGTTTGCATTCCTGATTTCGATTACGCTTTCACCGTGCAATTAATCAATTAATCGTAAACGAATAAAAATAAAATATACATCGCCCGCAAATGCACAATATCCGTTACGCATCATTAATTTATTCGTTATTAATATTATTAGCCGGCAGAAATATGTAAACGAGCAAGTTCGCGCGGGGTATCCTATATAATTGAGTTATTCATAAATACTATTTATCGTTATTAAGTTAATTAAGTTCGATATAACGGTCACCGCGCGGCTGTGCCACCGGTTGGTAATTCGCCGGCAGTAATTGATCGTAAAACGATCCAACGTGGCGGGATATAAATTTCGAAGAGGCCTTAGACAACGAACGAAGTCTTACAAAACGATCGCGTCTCGACCTTATACGCGATATGTGCACGGCCCAGGAAATTGATTGGTCAGGTAAGACGGAACACGTGGATGAGTCATGATAGAAGGTAGGGGAGTGACCATCGATTTCTTCCCGGCTATCATACAAGATATCTCGTTTCGCGAACGAAACTTAATAACGGGGACATCTCTCATAGTTCCGTTCCGAACCGCGTGAAACTCGATTTTCGATCATCCGGCCGGCGATAGTGATCGTAGGTGGATGCCCGATATACCCAGAGCGACGAAGAAATATCCTTGTAATAAGGCAAACTATTTCGAAACCAATCTAAATAAAATTGAACGGATGCATTTACGTGATATACGTAGCGATCGAATTGCTGCATCTGCAGAGATTTAATCATGATAATTTTATCATTGCAATAAATTATTTTATCTTTAAGAAATTATAAGTTTAGCGAATCAAAAAATAACATACTTTTAACATCATGTAAAATTTGTACTTAATCAAACGGATGAATAGTGTGTCCTTTTTTGTTAAAAAATATATATTTTTTTAATAATAAAATGAAGATAAAAAATTGCAATTGTAATTTTTCATCTTAATCTTACAAAAAATTTAAGACATTTGTCTTTTTGTTTTAAATAAAAATTTTACATGATATTAGAAAGAGCATCCTATTTTTCAATTTTCCTACAATTCCTTTATTTAATTAAACAATACAAAAAGTCGCGCAAAAGTTGATAGTGCGTTCAAAGATTTTTTTAAAAAGATGAGTCAATTACGATATAACTTTTGCATATGGCATATAAGCTGAACTAGCTAAAAATATCTCTCAAATGTCATTCACTGGTCATTATCTACCCTGCTTTATGGAGGATATCGAGAATATCTCGTGACATTTTGTAGACAAAGCTTCGTGTTAAAAAAATGATAGCTCGCATGCGATCAAGCGTTATTGTAAATAGTTGTGTGTAACGATGGTATAATCTCGTGACGATGTCAATCCGACTTTAAAGTAGTCGATATTGTGATTCATAGGTGATCAGAAATATCTCGTGACACTTTGTAGATAGCAAAAAGTACATCATGTCACGGAATCAAGTATGACAAAATGTAAATGTACGCTTTCAACGTCGTAGGAGGAATGCGTATTCTTTCCAGACTGATAAAAACGTATAGGTGGATACATATATAGCTGACTGAGAAGCGATTTGTCTCTTTTTCAACGAATATCTTAGGACCTGACGTAACTTAAAATATTCGTTGCATGCTGCCCCTTACGTGTAACCTGATTTTCAAATACTGTCGCTATCAAGATTCTATCGCGCAAAAATGGATATAACTTTTGACATCTAAGATAGATTGTTGAACCAAACACGTGCCATGCTCTGGAATTATGAATTAATAAACATTGTTTGCTTGTTTTGTACATTCGAAAATTTGCCGTTGTCTTTTAAACATCAAATTTTTATTGTGGAAACTATAAATATGATCCATCTCTTATTAATCGAATTTTGACCGCGATGAAAATTTATTCTTTTTTAGTGAACTGATTTTTTATTTTTAATTGTAATTCAAAATTAATTAATTTCAGCGAACTTTTTTTTAACACTGTAGCTTATATCATTGTTTTTGATTCAATTAAAGATGTAATCAAGTCATCGAAAAATTTGTAGATAGAAGGAACGATAATAATTCTGCAACATTTCGATATGTATATATATAATCATACATTATATAAGTTGAGCGTATAAATCTCATATCGATATCTACCATCCGGTCGCTTCCATAATTATTACAAGTTTCGTGACATAGAATCGTTGAAATCGTTCGGAATAAAGGGCTATTATAACTGATACACGTTTGCAAGATCCACATATCAGGATAATAGTCTATCTGTGAATTAAGCATTAGATCGAATATCCATCAGCAAAGAAAGCTTTAACCAACGACGTGGTTAAAGTCATCAAACTCGTGTATAAAGCTTATTGAAAGCAGCTCTACCTTGTTTTTAGATAATTTACCAATGAAACCTGCTTTAGACGATCATCTAATTCTCGATAAAATTCAAAAATTCTAATGTATATATCTCTCCTAATATATATAATATATTATATATAATATATGTATTTTACTTTTTTCTTTAAATTTTTTCTGTGTTATAATTATTACAAACAGAATTCTGTCACAAATTATATGTAAATCTGTTCTAGCGAGTTTAAAATATTTGCCCATTGTTTCTTTTTAATAATATATGACAAGTGTTAAGACTTCCTCTTTACATCATTTTGCATTGTCAAACATTAGATTATTTATGAAAAAATCCACGATTCAAAAGATACAAATTACACGGGTAACTATATCCCCTAATTTTAACCCTTCGCTTAAATTCCCAAACGCGCGACGACTTATCATCAGCTGTGATTTGGCGGTTTAATTTAGCAAACACGCGGCGTTCATTGATTCGTTGGTTGATTTGCGCATCTGTGTCCTTTCATCCCCCTCACGTTGGTCCTCGATCTATCGAATCGCGTGATCACGCTCGCGGGGATGCGCCAATACACAAACTCCGCGGGCAATTTGTTCGATGGGAATTGATTAAACCAAAATCAATGCAGCTAATAATAGTCTTTGTTAAGGGTCAAATGTGTTTATGCGATCAAGCAGGTAATTTTTGCCATCGCTCTGTCGAGCTAATTGATCCTATTATTATTGTATGTGAACACAAATGATTGATTCTGGCATATGATACTACGTGATATTACGTGATTTACAAGAAATATACAGAGCTTTTGTATCTTATGTTTAGCAATATCGAAAAATACTGATGGTTCTCTGTATTAATAATTTCTATTGTTAATATAAAAAAAGTGTTATAAACGTATGAAATTAAAGAGAACTTTTTTCATAAAGTAAATTGTTTTTTTAACGAATTTACAGAAAGCCAAATGTTATATTGTCCATCCGAGTTTAAATATTGTACTTGATCGTTTCTAAGTCTTAAGAATGATCGAAATGATTGCATACGAAGAAAAGTTTATACATAAGGTATACATTGATATAAGTTGTTAGTTGACATATAGTAAGTCGAAATAACTTCATGTTTCCTTGACTTAGTTTAATTAATTATACAATTGTCAAGACAGGTATGTTAAGGGGTCGCGTTCGTTCTCTCTTTCTCTTTCTCTCACATGCTTCCATATGATATAATATCTAGGTAAAGCTGTCTAGCTATTCGTGACTAACTACAGTCAGTAAATTGGCAAAGGGGTGGGTGGGGTGGAACATGACCAAATGGGGCATGAAGACTCGCAAGAAATAATGTTTACATCTGTGATTGCCGTGCATGAATACTCTTGTAATTTACAAATTTCTGACATACTATATTTGAAATTCTATTTTCTTAAACACGCGCCAAATATGTCGCAGCTCCGTACAAGTCGCAGCTCAATACACATACATATATCTTCATTCATGTATAGTACTCTAATACTATTATTCTTTTAAATTCGATTTATTTTTAATAATAATTATAAATATCATAAAGATTATTGTAATATCATAAAGAGCTAATTATTTTTCAGTTTGACATTTCAACTGCTTTAAATTGCAGCTTGTAATATTTTTCTTTTTTTGTTTTGTACGTGGTTTAATTATAGCATTCAAGAAATAAATGATTTAACACATGTCACGCCGTTTTTAAAATGTTTTTGTCGGTTATTGTGAAAGACGATTTAAAGAAATCGTATTACAGTTGGCCATAAAAATATTTTCCAATCCGTGTAACATGACGATTTCGCGGACAGAGAACGGAAACGTTCGAGAGAGAAATATTTGTTCGACGCATATTAATTTTGGCTAAACGATTTCGAAATATCTTTGCTATGGCCATTACTCATCGTAACAGCAAAATATCACAGGGAATATCGGTGATTGATATTACACGCGCAATTTGATTGCGTTAAAGCGTTTTCGGCAAATCGAAAAAAATCAAAACCCGGTAAATGCAAATTTCCATTTATAAAGATTGCACGTCTCAATTTATTTATCGATATCCTTGAAAAATATATTGATTAAATATTGATTAAATATTCCATGCATGTGTGCTTGCGCGTAATGGAACAAATATAATCATTGAATTTGCACTCAAAGAGGAATTTTTACATACCTTAATAATGTTTTTAAATACCGTATATATTACATAATTTTATCATTGTGTAATTTTTTTTCCTCTCATAATTCTTACTCTGTTATATTTTATTGAAGACTTGATGACAGAGATAACTGATGAAAAAATCGGAAGTAATATTCGCGA